TCTAAAGCTGCTATAGAAATGAAATTAGCAACTGCCAAAACGAATGACTCTCTCTGCGAAAAAAGTGGAAATGAAATGTCCTTCAGTACGATAGATTGATCTCCACGTGAGAGCCAATGTTAGTATTTTTACGATTGATTATTTTAATAGAGAATAGATTTCGAATCGTTTTTGACAAAAAAATATTCATTTTTACAAAAAAAGTTGCAACTGTTATCGCCTGCATGTTCCCGTTCAGTTATAAACAGTGGACCTCTGGTCCCTATTTGGTCCATGTATTTGCACACATAACCACTGGTGCTCAAACAAATGGGCTCAGGTGGTCGTCCAGTCTTGGGCTTACTCTACCTATCCCTTTAAAAGTGAAACTTTTTTTTCGAGAAAAAACCATGTAGGCCTAAACCGTTTATGATATACAAATACCGTAATTCAAAAAAAAATTGTGATAATAAATTGAAACAAAAAAACAAACAAAAAAACCCCCACAATTTTAAAGGGAAGGGATGATGACACACTGAGCAAGCCTTTCCTTAGAAAGCCTTCGTTAAAAGGAAACTTTATTTTCACTTTAAATATGTACCTTTCTGCTTATTTACATTAATACCAGCGTTAAAGTGATTTGGGGGGGGGGGGGGGGGGGGTTCTCTGCGCCACAATTTCTTAAAATTAACAACAGCAATATGTATATATTTTTTTCGGCGTAGCTGTATTAAAATGGATTTTGACCTAGATTTGTAACAAATGAAATTGTTAGTTACAAAATCTTCAGCTAAAAGAGGGTGTTTTTCATTGGTGGAAAGACTGGCTGTTATGAAATTTAAGGACAAATTCGTAATCTTTAGTTTACTTGTCTCTAAGAATAAAGTTGTATTAAAAATATTTATACAATCGTAAACTAAATATCACAACGTTATGACCAAAACAAAGATATATCAAAATACAAAAATATACAGTACAAATGATTTCATGTACAATTTATTTTGTTGATAATATTAACAACTATCCCAACTTTTTGTTTTTCAGCCTTTACTTAAACATTCGATTACTAGTGTTGTGCAGCCGAAAAATGATAAAATTCATTTACAAAAAAAAAGGTCATATTTTCAAAACAAAATTTGTGAAATTTCAAAAATACGTTACAAATAGTATATGTTTCAATAACAGATGTCAAATTTAAAATTATGTAACTGGAAGATTAAAATGCGGCTTTTCCTCTTTGTCCAATCAACTGTGCTAAAAGTTTTATAATATATAGGTGATAAGGTCAATTAAGCTGTCTGTACTTATCATGTTGTTAAACCTTATGACTGATAAAATATCCAGGTGATGATTGTTGTTATAAATTCTATGTTGCTATGTTTCATTATTTGTATTGAAACCTGATTGGTCATTTTGTTATTTAAGACACAAAAATGTTAAACATTCTATTGGTCAGTTAAAACGAAATCAATTTTAGAATTATTGTAAAGATACATGTAGAAAATTTAGGGTCAGTTAGATTTTGGATTTCCAAGTGATAACATTGTATTGTGGCTTTCCACTAAAAATAATCGTTACTGTTTTTAATATCAATTTGTTAACATCAGGATAACCTGTGTATATGTTATATTATTATCTGTGGTATTCCACTAAGAAAGAAACATTAAAATATAAAACGGAACATTGTGTTGAGAATCAATCCACCTTCAGTAGAACTTTAAATTTAGCGCATAACACGTGGCGGGAATCAGTGTCTTTCCCAACCTCTCAATTTAGCAAGCGAGACTACGAATTCAAATTCCCCAAGAAGAACAACAATGAGTTTCACATATGGAATACCATTCAAAAGTGAAAAATCATGTGGACAATGTGGACTTTATCATAATAACAGACAGGAGAAGTGTTGTGCAAAAATGGCAAGATGCAACAAATGTAATAGAATTGGACATTTTGCACGAGTTTGTCTACGTCCAGCAGTTAGGCAAAAGTCAAACCACTCAAAACTACGCGATCAGGAACGCATGACAACTTTCATCAGACGCAAGACAGCTGAATACACATTTCCGTTTTACAATGAAGACGATGCCTACTTTAAGAAGAACCAAACAAACAATTCTGTAAGTAATGTTTCAACAGCAGAATTTCAGAAGTTGAAATCTTTGACCGATTCAATGACTAAAACTATTTACGGTTTAAAAGCAGAAAATATTGCCCTTGTTTTTAAAAATCAAAGACTTAAGGATTTTAATGAAAAACTACAGGATGAGGTTTCCATAAAGAAATTAGAAATAAGTCAACTTAAAGAAACATTTTTTCAAAACAACAACTCGCTAAAGGAAAAAATTCGGACTGACTCTTCAAAACTAGAGATAATGGACAAACTTATATTAGAATTTAAGAAACTAAATGACGACTATGAACAACTGAGATTGAAGCACAACCAGAAAGCCTATGAAATTATGATGATGGAATCAAGAAAAAACGATCAAATAGATGACTTGAAAGATGAAAACCACACTTTGAAAGATGAAATTGCCCAGTTGAAAGACAAAACTAAATATCTATGTCGAAAAAGAGGAAACAGAAATCAAGATCTTTCAAGTACATGCGAAACCGGGTTCGCACATGAATGGAGAGGTCAATATCATCATGGAAGACAACAAGGACAGAGGGGACAATACAACAGAAATAGACATCATTAAAACTGTGTTGTTTACAATAAGACAGTGATTAGGATATTTATTATTAGTGAATGGTACTTACGCTCTTCAGCAAAATCGGTGCTTTATATTCAAGTATATATTTCTGAAACTGAATATCTTATGTAAACAGTATTCTAATTTAATGATATTTATTTTTGTTATATAGTATTTATGCTTCATTTCACAGGAGTGAAACAGTCTTGAAGGAGGGAGAAGTGTTGTGCAGCCGAAAAATGATAAAATTCATTTACAAAAAAAAAGGTCATATTTTCAAAACAAAATTTGTGAAATTTCAAAAATACGTTACAAATAGTATATGTTTCAATAACAGATGTCAAATTTAAAATTATGTAACTGGAAGATTAAAATGCGGCTTTTCCTCTTTGTCCAATCAACTGTGCTAAAAGTTTTATAATATATAGGTGATAAGGTCAATTAAGCTGTCTGTACTTATCATGTTGTTAAACCTTATGACTGATAAAATATCCAGGTGATGATTGTTGTTATAAATTCTATGTTGCTATGTTTCATTATTTGTATTGAAACCTGATTGGTCATTTTGTTATTTAAGACACAAAAATGTTAAACATTCTATTGGTCAGTTAAAACGAAATCAATTTTAGAATTATTGTAAAGATACATGTAGAAAATTTAGGGTCAGTTAGATTTTGGATTTCCAAGTGATAACATTGTATTGTGGCTTTCCACTAAAAATAATCGTTACTGTTTTTAATATCAATTTGTTAACATCAGGATAACCTGTGTATATGTTATATTATTATCTGTGGTATTCCACTAAGAAAGAAACATTAAAATATAAAACGGAACATTGTGTTGAGAATCAATCCACCTTCAGTAGAACTACAAAATTAGCGCATAACATCACTCGTACTTTATTTGCCGTAGCTTTTCTTTTTTCTATGAAAATGAACGATATTTTTGATCAACAAAAAGATTCTCCAGAGCTGATATGAATTGCGAAAATTAATATATTTAAAATGCAACATTATCATAAAGAATCGCAAAACTTTAAGTATTATTTTTTGTGCGTAATAAGAACAAATTAATTTATTCATAGTTATTCGGCGTTTGTTTACACCGGTAGGTAAATTTACCGAAATACACCCCAATTGACTACCACAATCTGAAACTGTCTCACTTGATAATCAGTGTCATTGATGGGTTATACACAATTGAGTTTAGTACTTATTATAAGATAATTAGATATATTTCTGTATATATTGAACAACATTTATATTTTACATTCCACATTTAAAGTACATTGTAATATATAACCTGTGTAGGTGTACGACACGTAGCCATGCCAGTAGGCTTAACTAGTACCTCCACCTCATACCCCTAGTATATACAAAATACTAGTCAAGCTGTGCAATTTTTAATAGCAATCCTTTTTTTATAAAATACATAAATATAACTTTTACTAGAAAGGTTATGTTTAACTTTTGATTTAAGTCTTCAATTATTCATTTTCATTGCCAGATAGATAAGAAGGCATTATAAATAGTATAGTTCAGAGTTGATATGTTCCATTGATTGTTTATTACAGTTTGTCTTCTTTCATAAATAAAAGATATAAACAACAAAAGATTTTGGTGTTATTATCATGACCTAATAATTGCAGCATTTTATGCACAGAAGTGCTTTTACAAAATGAAGGTCTGATACATATAAGTTAATATTATTTAACAATAAAATTCAAGTTGTCAGCTGATTGTGGCCTTTGCAGTCTCTAAATTTGGTAGTGTGGTTGGTTATTATCTGGTATTGACTTTGAAACCAGTAGTCAAAAGTCACGGTGACAAAAAAGCTTCTAGCATCTATAATAACATGACTAATTTGTTGACATTATAGGAGCATACATGTTTCAGCTAAGTTTAGACAACTGTCATAGATTATACTAGTAACCACCAAATATATTTCAATTTAGACATTTATATTGTTATAAAGTATAAATATCATTAATTTTGAAAATATTCTAAAGCTATGAGACATTTTGCACTGAATTTACGCCGATTATCTTTTTTAAAGATATTTCTTGTTTCACCCCTGTTCTAATCAAAACATGTCGAAAATCGGTTAAAATACACTACACCCCCGTGAATCAATAACTTAAAGATAAAAAAAAAATAAAAGCATGATTTTGTCTTTTTGTTTTTGTGTTTTTTTTTGTTTAGCAAAACTTCCTAGGGAAAGTACCTAGTTTTTACTACAGTTACAATTAAGTTATTTATAGTAACGCTAATTATAACCAATGTGTATTTTTAGAATATCTGGTTTTCCAAATTTTCCAAGCCGCAGTCTATTCATCTCTGACCTGTCTTTATTTCGCTCTGCTTTTCTGTGTTATTGCACGCTTGCTTTTACTGTTTCCTGTTTAAATCGATACAATTAAGTGTCAAGTCTGCATATAGACCGGATTTTGTCACGATTAAAGGTAAATACATTTTATTTTTTATTTTATTCTTGACTTTTTACATAATTTAAGCGTATGACCTATTTTGTATAATTTACATTTTCATAATTATGATGCTGTTAGCGTGTGGTTGAAAGCGAGTTAACTCGTAGCTGCATTGTTTTATTCATTTTTTTTCTATCTAAGATGTACATATTTATTTTGTTATCTCATCGTTGCTAATCAAGCCTACTTGTGCCGCTCTTGGCCAATTTATATGTGTGTGAACTTTTCCAGGTGGTGTCATACATGTATGTGTCGTTAAAGCAGCACGCCTCCTGATTAATGCTTATTTTCATGAAAATTTTGAAAATGTAATTAAAAGCATAATATTGTATGTTAACCAAAAGGAGGCAATTAACACATTACAAATGGCACTTACAACCCACGTTAATTACAAAAAAAGGACAAAATATGCAAAAATTGCCCTTACTGCGTTAGCAACGCAGTAGAAATATAGTCACACATGATGAAAAATTCTAAAACGACCCGCATTTTTCCCTATTGAACATAGAAGAACCGAAAGTGTGTGTTATTATGCTACAAAATCACTGTTTGACGTTCTATATTTAGACATGTGAGGTAATCATTATGTGGACACGTGACGTAACCACTAAAAATGTGACGCGCTGACAATAAGTACGCGCAATTAAGCTAACATAATGTACGGCAGCATTTATTTGTTGATGTAGTGTTAGAATCGAAATAATATATCCAAATCGGTGATTTTATTGCTTGATAACATCACTGTTTAAATTGTCGTTCGGATGCGCATCATTATATCACTCGGGCTACGCCCTCGTGATGTAATTCCCCGCATCCGAACTCCAAACAGTGATGTTATTCAGCAATAAAATCACAGTTTGGGATATATTTTTTCTTAAATAACGATTAATTGCCCATAGCATGTGAATTATTACTCGAATCTTGAATCTTTCTACTTTTCCTAAACTCTGAGTACACTTTTCTCAAGTTTGAATTTATCGAAATATTTTTGCTCATCTGGAGGCATGCTGCTTTAAGACATGTGTGTAGTGTAATGACATATGTGTTGTGTAACATGACATATGTGTAGTGCAATGACATAGAAATAGTAAAGACATAGAAATTGTAATGACATATAAATAGTAATATGTGCAGTTAAATGACATAAATGTCATATGAAACACGTGCGAACTGCCCTATGAAAATAAAAAAATACCGTAATCTTCTAAGTCGAATTACATCTTTAAAAAAACGCTTGGTATGCATTATAAACATACATATGCTTTGCTTTAAATATGTTATATGATTCAATTTATTATTTACAAAAATATATGTACAGTACAGTTAAATAAAATGTGTTAGTTTCTTGTATATATGAACTGTGTGACAGAACAGATATTTTTATTAAAACTTGTACACACATATACATATAAATGTTGATAACCTGTCCTTTAACGGGTTCACACGGAGGTCAAACTTAGCGTTGTTACATACTTGAATCTGTTATTTCGCAAATTTATTATCGTTACGCCTACGTTTACAATCTATTTCTCATAGAATAGGAAAACTGGGATTTCACCCCCCCCCCCCCCCCAAAAAAAAAAAAAAAAAAGAAAAGAAAAGAAAATCCCCTTGCAACAATTTTGTTTTATCAATTTAGGTCAATTGTCTCATAAATCCAAGCAAAAAAATTCAATTCAGACGTATATGTTTATACTTCTTTTACAACATGCTACATACTGAAGTGTTGACTAATAATGTGTCGACTGAGGGCCGAGGCATTTTAACGTTTTATTGTTTGAGTACAAACAAATAAATAAAATGAAATAAAATAAAATAAAATAAAATACAAAAATAAGAATAATAATGATTTGAAAAAAAGAGCGAAAGAAATAAGACAGCGTAGTTTTGTAATCGCTCAGAGTAGTAGTTTTTAATTTTGATTTTAGTAAAAAAGACGGGAGAAAAATGAAATATAAACAATGCTTTTTACATAAGAGTGTTAAAATGCTGATAACATAAAGGTTATTTAAAAAACAATAGATATGTTAAAATACTGGTAACATTAGATGTTATTAAAATGCTGATAACATATAGGTTATTAAAAAACTTAATATTCTGATAACAATAGATATGTTAAAAATACTGATAACATTAGATGTTATTAAATCTGATAACATATAGGTTATTAAAAAACTAAATATGCTGATAACAAAAGATATTTGAAAATGCTGATAACACAAGATATAATAAAAATGGCGATAACACGGGAGTGGAAAGTTATATATAACAGCAATATGGTTTATTCTAACATCACCCGCATTTTTCACTTTTGAATATAGAAGAACCGAAAGTGTGTGTTATTATGCATTTGACGTTCTATATTTAAGTATGTGACGTAATCATTATACATGTGACGTATCTCTAAAAGAATCCGACGCGCTGAAAATAAGCACGGAAACAAATCAGGCGTAATTTTGCTTTACTATCAAATAAGGCAGCATTTATTTGTTGAAGTCGTGTTAAGAATCGAAATAATATATCCAAATCGGTTGATAACATCACTGTTTGTCGTTCGGATGCGCATCATTATATCACTCGGGCTACGCCCTCGTGATATAATTCGTCGCATCCGAACTGGATATATAATTTCTTAAATAACGTTTAACTTGAAATAAAAAATGCTGATAACATAAAGAATGCTGATGTAATGAGTGTTAATTAAATGAAAATGCTGATAACTTTAGGTTTTATAATACACTTACAAAATGCTGAAAAAAAGATGTTGATAACACAGAACTAAAACTAATAAAAGTGTCAATGATACATTGTTTAATTAAATTTGTTTGTTTGATTGGGTTTTACGTCACACCGACACAGTATATGTCATTTGGCGACGTTCCAGCTTTACTGGTGGAGGAAGACCTCAGGTGCCCTTCCGTGCATTTTTTTAGGCACGAACAGGCACCTGAGTTCCACTGACGTTCCGTGAGCTAGCTGGATAGCTTCCTCACATGAAAGAATCCAAAGTTCCTGTCGGGATTCGAACCCACAGTGGTGAGAGGCAAGTGGTTTGAAGTCAACGACCTTAACCACTCGTCCACGGACGCTGATTACATTATGGTCTAAGGTTGTGAAGAATTTCATTTAGCTCAAACTCAGAGCTCAGGCATTTGATCAATCAAGTTATTTGAAATTGCCACAGTATATATACTGACCAATGAAAATCCTGATATTTGAGACGGAACTAAGGAAAATTTTTTATAACCTTTTGGCTAGATTAAGGTTATAGTGATGGCTAAAACATACTCTCATACAAAAACAAGTACATCTATAAATAATTGTACATCGTCTGTTATTATGTTTAGGGGAATACTTTTGTGTATGACTCATAATTACAACACTTATATATATATATATATAATTGATCGTCGTGTACATTTATTACAGTCCAGCTTGTATAATAACGAAGGCAGTAACGCGTGGTTTGAAGGAATTTTCAATTATTTTGTAACTTTAACGACTTTAAAAAATAATTAACCGGCAAACAGTTTATAGAATAAGGTCACCGAGGCTACTCACATTAAGGGGACTCGACTGAAGTTTTTTGGATGGGACTGAAAATATTTTTTCCAGATAACTGTACTATTTGATGCAGATTTAGACCACTAATCTTTGTGCAAAATTTCAGATCATTCGCACACTTCGTTTTTTTCCAGAATAATTATTCAAATTGTAAAAAATGCCCAAAAATGAAAAGCGATTTCCAATTTATTTCAAAGTATATTTCTTAACTATCTCTGCATATATTTCTGTTTAAAGTGCCACAGTTCATTTATGTAAGAAATTCAAATGTTATGCTTTTTAGGCTTTTAAACCTGAGTGGAGTCCCTTTAAACACCCACAAGTCTTTTACTTAGTATTTGTCATACTGATGGCACATGTTCAAATTCCTATGCTATTACTTTATTACATTACAAGATCTGCGCATTTAACAGTTGATCCAAATATTAATCTTGATCCTTAAAAAAATTCGTGCTTTGACCCGTTTTTTTGTATTCTGTATTGCTTTTCATCATATATATCATATATATCATATAATAAGTTTGTTTCTTTGCAAATCTGTAATTTGTTACACTTTTCCCATGTACCATATCATTTTAGACTTTTATAATATGAATGATGCTAGCTTTATAAAGCAATGAAAATGAAATAAGGATCATTCGATCTTTTTTTTTTTGGTGAGGGTTTAAGTCGCACCAATATAATATAGGTCATATGGCGACTTTCCAGCTTTAATGGTGGTGGAAGACCTCATTATGTGCATTATTCCAGGCCCGTACTAGCCCCTGACTAGAGTAGAACCATCGAAAAAAAAAAAAACTGAGGATATTTAACACTTGGCTGATTAAGCAAATGTCCGCTAACTATTACATGTTTGTACTTCTATATAAAAAATCTCGTTTTTTTTCAGATGTTTAAAAGAGGTCATTTCACAGACAGGAATCTACAGATAGCATCTGAGGTACAATAATTATTATATTTATCCGGTTCTTAAGAAATTACTAGTATATTCTTTTAAATATGTTTTATCTTATTTTTATATAGAGCTGTGCTTAAAGGTCCATTTTGCCTCAGAAATGCTTCTTATTCCACAAAAGATTTTTATATTGGCGTACTTTCATAGTTTCCAAAAAGATACCCATTGTCCAATTATCTTAACCATCTTTTTTATCTATTGCTTTTTGGCAACTATTAACGCAGTAATAGTGATTTAATATTTTGTATGGAATTCAAAATACTACTTTGTTTACATTTTGTTTCGTTTCACATTTATCTTTAATTTCTTTAGGTTAGTAGCCTCTTACATGCCCTAAAACCGTTATTTAAAGTGTTATTAAATTTATATTTGCCCTTTCTAAAGAAGTAAACAATTTTCGTTTCTGTGGCATAATGTGTCTTTTAAAAAAAAGGTATTTCTCTTTTACAGAAACCTGAAAACTTCAAAGACATTGGAAGTAGATATGAGTCCACAGACAAGACAAAAAGTGCAGAAAATGAGTTTTTACAAACTTTTGAGGTAGGTTTTTCCTTTTTACAACATCTGATTTTTTAAAAAAATGGAAAGTTTATATGTAACATTTCTCTAATTTGGTGGCATAAGAAATAGTTCTACATTTTGAAAACCCACTGAAACTGATATTACTTCTCTTTTATTACATTTGTGCAGTCTTGCGTAATGCGTCGTCCATCGAAAACTACAATGCAAAGTGTTTCATATTTGAGTCGCGTCACGACAAAACCAACATAATGCGTTTGCGACAAGCACGAATCAAGACAAGCCTGCGCATCCGCACAGTCTAATCAGGATCCATGCTGTTTTCTACTTGTAAAAGGGTTTGTAAGCGAACAGCATGGATCCTGATCAGACTGCGCGGATGCGCATGCTGGTCTGGATCCATGCTGGTCGCAAACGCATTACGTTAGTTTTGTCGTGATGTGGCTCATTAGTCGCCGGTAGAAACCGGCGACTATATTTGTAACAGTTTAATATTATATCTATGGTAGGAGAAGTCCTTAAAATTTGAATATAAAAACAAAACAATTATTGAACAATTAAGGACTACAATTAATTTTCATAATCCTCAAAATCCAAACATAAAATAACGTTGCTCACTGAAATGAAATATACAAATATTGACATCTTTAAAAGCAACATTACAATTTTCATAAAATGAATTAATAATGTATCCCTATGGACCAGTCATTGAATTTAGGGATACTTCCACTTTTTTAGTGTCAAGCGTTGCTATTTTATGATAGATAAATCATGAATGATATTTGAAATGACACTTTTAAATTATTTGGCTGTTGGGACCTATTATATTTCATTATTTTATCTAATTATACACAGATTCTCCCTGTTCTTTTGTAAGAATCACGTGACTACACGTCGTATGTTATCTATTAACAGTGACAGATTGCTGATAAGACATACAGGTATCTTGTGTGTAGCTGGCAAAAGGACTGGCGGCTGATAAGATGCAAACCATAGTAATTTTGTATAAATAATTACAAAGTTATTTTTCATTAATCAGTTTCATATTTTATATCATTAGAAAGGTCTGTATATACTTATAAGGAATAAATTTTCAAAACCTTTATATTTTTTCTTGGTAAGGTTAAACTTGGCCCTTTCTGTCAACGTTCAATAGTTTAGTTTAGGTTGAACATCACAAAATAGATATTTTCTAAAGAGACACATGTATTGAAATAAATAGTGGAAATCACCGTCTTCGTTATATTCCGTCGGTTTCAAAACGGTATGACGGTAGGGATCCGGAATCGTATTAGATATATAGAAAAAAACCTAATAAAATATCTTTTTAAAGGAAATTAAACGTTAACTATATTGTAGGTAACGACAGGAATATTGATTTCAACTAAATTATAGATTTTTACGATAGCGCATAAGAATAATTTCTTTTATGCATATACCACTTTTATGGTAGAATTGCATTGTTTCATGCAATAATTAAAACATATATATTTTCAGAGTCATCTCGATTTATCAACTTATGTTTCATAAAGTTAAAAGAAATAATAAAAAATATTTTTATGAAAACTACAAAAAGGATTTTCAAAGATTCGAACTTGGCCTACTAGGTCACAACTTCGTCATACTTACCACTAGGCAATCGAGCAATATTAATTGATTTAATATCGAGATCTATACTATCAATAACATTTTTAGCATTAATCATAAGTTACGTAAACTAACGAAACACCTCCCGAAAATTAATGACTCTCAGGTCAATATTGCCAAACAATACTTGCTTATTTAATAATTATTACAGTTCCTTGACAGTATTGCTAAGCAAGTTTGCTTCAAATGTGATGTTTATTGTGAATAAACAGGTACTCAACATATTGTTCCTTTCTTCTTTATACTTGAACCATTAATTTAACTGATATTTCATTATATTTATTATAATACAATCATTTTTCTATCCGGCGACTTGATGCTTTAGCATCAAAACCTTTACTTGTTTGGTATTGTGGAGGTTTAATAAAGTTAAGATATTGCCCTGTTGGTTAAAATGGATCCGCCCTTAGCACCATTTATTAACTGAGACTTCTTTAGACGTTACATAGAAAATACATTTTAATCTTTGCTGGCTGAACTGAAAAGTAGACATTTTCTAACTCTCTGTCATTTTTAAACAGTTATCTCGTTGTTTAAAATACGCGGCCTAAAACCTAGGTATTTAACAATTTGTACAATAATTTATTGTCTGCCTCACCTATCTCTTAAAAGTTATACCATTCATAGCCACATTTTAGCTCAATACCGTTTCTAGCAATCTGTTTTGGTGAGCGTTTAAGAGCCTGATGACCCTCACCTGACGGTCTTTGATAATGATTATCTGTGTAAAATATATAATCTTATAACTCTATAAACCGGTGCCATTTCATCTGTTTAATCAAATATTTTCAAAAATATTTTGTAGAATATTTTGGGCAAAAAGGCCAATGAAGAGTTTGACGATACAACCAAAGGACAAACAAGTAATCCAATCATTGAACTCTCAGAATTAAAAACCAGCACGGACTTTGCCAGGTCAAACAAGGTAATTCAAGTGCATGTGTACGAAGAAAATTTCTGACATTTATTTGAATAACAATAGAAAGTACATGTATTTAAACTTAAAAAAAAACATGTTGGTCAACTAATTGAAAGATTTGTAACACTTACTGAGAAGTATGAATTCAATTATACGATCCATATTTCTATTTTACTTTGTCCCTTTCAGAAGAGGCCAGACCATATGAACAGACGCAGTAAGAGTGATCTTACTCAAGAGCTTGAGGTAGATGAAGTTGCAACCATGATAAATTAATAATAATACTTCATTACTTGCCATATTTACGAATTTTACTGTCTAAGAATGAGCCTATACAAAACACGGACTAATTAGATTATTTGGTATCAAAGTACGTCAGCGGTTCTTCAAATGATAAGGAAGTTCTGACTAAACACCACACTTATATCTGCTTTATACTACAAGAATATACTGATGTTTTTATGCCCCGGGCATATAGTAATTGAACCGTCCGTCCGTCTGTTCGTCCGTCCGTCCGAACAAACATTTTGGGTTAAGGGGCTATATAATAAAGAGAACAAAAGAGAACAATAGGTTCATTCCGTGATCAAGGGTTACTAAGGGCTACTAGGGTTTATGGGCTAGTAGCCCATAGTAGCCCTTAAGTAAACAAAGAAAATAACAAAGAAAAAAGCCCCTATACCAAAAATGTTGGAACGTCCCTCTGTCCGTACGAGGTTAACCTAGAATGGCAAGTTGGATTTTTCTTAAGTTCTACCTGTACCAATGGCTTCATAATTTACACACTTACTAATGCATACAAAGTATATGATCTGGGCAAGTTACATAACTATGGCTTTTATTTGCACCAAGTTATGGCCCTTTTCAGCACTTAGAAAATGAATAATGGTTAACCTAAACCGGCAAGATGGAAATAACTTATGTTCTATCTGAAGTAATGGCTTAATAATTTTCACACTTACTTATCAATACAATGTACATGATATTGCCAAGTTATATAAATGTGCCATCCATTTTCCCAGTAATTTTCCTTTTTATCACTTTGAAAATAGGGCCTTGTATGGTTAACCTATTCCGCCAAGTTGGATTTATCAAAAAAAATTCACCTAATTACTTAATTTATTTAATGATATCTTTCATATTTGGTAGCTGGATACCTTTAACGGTCCCCTAATTTTTTGTGACGTTAGGCATCTCTAGGTCAAGGTCAAGGTCACTTGTGCAAAAAATAAATCTAAACATTTCTGCTCATACAACCTTTATTTTTAAGTTAATGTCTTTCATGTTTATAATAGTCATACCAAGGGAGGTCCTCTTCCTTTTCCTTTAGTAAGGGGTCATTTGGGTCAAGGTCACCAATGTCAAAAATAGATTTTTTACACTTTTACAGGTGTATTAACCTTATTCTATCGACAGATGTCTTGTATATTTGTAGGAACATAAAATTGAGAAAATCTCATTCGGATGGAGGTAGGGGTCAGTTGGGTCAATGTCACCAGTGCTAAAAACAGATTTTTACACTTTTGCTCATACAGCCTTTATTTATTGACAGATTTGTATTATAATTGGTAGAAAGATAACTTACATGGTATTCTTCCTTTGGATGGAGTAAGGGGTCAGTTGGGTCAAGGTCAACAGTGCTAAAAATAGATTTTTACACTTTTGCCCATAAAGCCTTTATATATTGACAGATTTATTTCATATTTGGTAGGAAAATAAGTTGCATGATATTCTTCCTTTGGATTGATGTAGAGGTCAGTTGGGTCAAGGTCACCAGTGCTAAAATAGATTTTTTACACTTTTGCCCATACAGCCTTTATTTTAAATATTGTTACTGAAAAGAATCTGAGCCGGGGGCATTTGTGTTTAATAAACACGTTCTTGTTTCTAAATTCAATTCATTATCATTTTGTTTCACCGGTGTAATGGAGAACGTATACATCTATTCTCTTGAGCACAAAATGAGTCATTGTTAGTTTCATGATGATCTCATGATCCCAAATTTTACGTATACAATTTTCTACCATTTTTCTTCGAACTTGATAGGAGTGATAAGGAGTGATAAGGTGTCTGTCACCTATATCATAAAATATGTTTTCATGCCTTGCCTGATCCATAAAGTGGCCATTAGAGCTCTAGAGTAGACTCTATTCATGATCAAGAAAAACTGATTGTCAGAAACCTAGTGCCCCTTTTGTGCTTTTATTTGGAGAATTTTGACCACTTGTTTCGTTTGAGAAATTAATATCTTACTAAGGGTGATCTTAAACTTGACCCTGCAGTGAGAAATTTCTCTTATGTTACAGATATGTCTAGCAAAGTATTTGAGATGAGTGATACAGGTCAAGCCCGACCCACTTGTTATATGGATGCTTATCATGTAATATATAGAATATATAGAATATGATTTACATTAAATGAATTCATAACATTTGAGAATCATAAAATGATCATGATGTTATATGTGCATACGCTTTTATTACAGAAAGCTGTGGCACAAAGAGCTAAAACAATCGACATACAAACGGATAACAAAGACAAGAAACTTCCAGATAAGGTAATAAGACCTGTGACTATGAATGAAAATAAGGTAAATTTTCTACGTGAACATGCGTGTGAATTCATAAACTTTATAGGCATTACTACGAAAGGGCAACTTCTCCAAACTATCGCTACTGACTATTGTCTTTAAGATAAGTCTTGTCTACATAAAGGCAAGGAACAGATCATTAAGGGCTCACATTGCAAAGTTTATCTACAAACTGCATAGCTTACTAGATCTTTGTTTATAAATCAGTTTATGGGTAAGTGAAAAGATATATAATTGCTGAACGTTGCTCAATTGATTAATGCGATCACTCGGACATGGAGAATAAAGTATGAGTTTCACCGACACACTATAATGAAACCTTAATTAGTATTCTGTGTAAGTCATGAACCTGTGTTTGTTATATCAGTTTGTAACTTGTGTTTGTTTTTATCACCAGGTCCATGACAATGGGGTACATATGAGCTCAAATGGTTCGATAGATACAATAAAGAGACAAAAAGGTTATGCTGAGCTTTGTGATGAGTTACAGGTACATGTTCTAATTCCATAAAAATCTCTTTTTTTATACTTTTCCAAAATTTAAAGTCCTCGTTTAATTTTATATTGATAGATTTGATTACAGTACTAGTAATATGTTGAATGAAGAATAGTTAAGAGAAAGTATAGCTATTCCTAGACTTTTAAATTGAAGAGATATTGCAAAACATAGGAATACAAATATTTTCAAGATACAGTATATGTATAAAAATTATATTATAGAAAAAATTGACTGAAAGAGCCAACTTAATAGAAGAAGATGAAACAAACGGAAAGTCACATATTGGAGGACCGACGCCAACAGATCAGAAAACTGTTACGCCAACCGATCAGAAAACTGTGATGCCAACCGATCAGAAGACTGTGACGTCATCAGATCAGAAAACTGTGACGCAAACAAAGCAGAAAACTGTGACGCAAACAGAGCAGAAAACCGTGACGCCAACAGATCAGAAAATTGCGACGTCTTCAGATCAGAAACCTGTGACGCAAACAGAGCAGAAAACTGTGACGCCAACCGATCAGAAAACTGCGACGCCAACCGATCAGAAGACTGTGACGTCATCACATCAGAAAACTGTGACGCAAACAAAGCAGAAAACTGTGACTCAAACAGAGAAGAAAACCGTGACGCTAACCGATCAGAAAACCGCGACGCCAACCGATCAGAAGACTGTGACGTCATCAGATCAGAAAACTGTGACGCAAACAAAGCAGAAAACTGTGATGCAAACAGATCAGAAAACCGTGACGCCAACAAATCAGAAAATTGCGACGTCTTCAGATCAGAAGACTGTGACGTCATCAGATCAGAAAAATGTGACGCAAACAAAGCAGAAAACTGTGACGAAAACAGAGCAGAAAACCGTGACGCCAACCGATCAGAAGACTGTGACGTCTTCAGATCAGAAAACTGTGGCGCAAACAGAGCAGAAAACTGCGACGCCAACAGATCAGAAAACTGTGACGCAAACAGATCAGAAAACTGAAAATGATTCTACTATATCAGATAAGGCAAGTACTGAGCAACTGAATAAGTTTTACAATGCTTTCGTGAATATTTCGTTTCGGATAGTAGTGGCACCTCATATAAGATATCTTTTTCTTGCACCTCAGACAGGATTATCTACTGCTTACACCGGTGCTAGAAAACTCTGTCTTACACCCAACAAGTCGCGTGCTTTAAATGACTTCATTGACGCGCACCTTTTATGAATGAATTGCGTTCTTAGGATGACGTCATTTTTCTGTTATAAATGAAGTTGTATGTTCATACGCTACTATAAGAAAAAAAGTGCGTAATGATAATATCAGTTTTCATAATTTCTGTTCCGAAAATAATTGACATGTAATATGCACGAAAAAGAATCAAACACCGGCTGTTGGTACAGACGGGAATATCCAGCTCTCGGGTAACTGTTTAGCGGAAACTCGGCAGAGCCTCGTTACCGCCGTAAACAGTTACCCTCGAGCTAGATATTCCGGTCTGTACCGGCAGCCAGTGTAAGATTCTTATATCCCCACGTGTAATTTTGTTGTGATTAGTGCTTCCGAACCGGATTTTTAATAGCTGCTTTCTTTTTGTAAACAGAATTTATCTTCAATGAGTAATAGCTTCAGTATATGTAATTACATGTATTTAAATTTTCATGAACTGCATAAAATTTTATTCATCTAAAGGCATACTAGTTTTTTTTTTTTTTTTTTTTTTTTTCAGGCCCCACATGGGGTAACCCCATTTATTCGCTTCGTCATATAACCATTTGTGGGTCGAAGCACATCCCACAGTGGTTTTACAATTATTTGTTTTCATGCATATGAACGGTTATACCAGATGTGGAACCAATGTAATGAAAGAAAAAAAAACAACAATTACAAAAAAAAAAATCAAAGAAAACACACACACACACACACGCACACACACACCAACACACACACACACACACACACACACACAATAACAACAACAACAACAAAAAACACAAAGAGACAGGGACGACACATGCATTCATACTCGCACTCATAACCGTATTTTTTTAAGAAATAGTTTCAAAAGCATCAACAGTATATAAAATCTAAAGCATGCTATTTTGGCTTGAATTATTTCTTAATTACTTAAACTCAAAAACAGTACTTTTCAGTGTAGAAATAATATTTTCTCAGCTGACATTTTTCTTTTTTAAAATATAAAAATAAATTTTCTAAAAAGACTCCAAACATTTTCAAATTTCGGTAATCTATTATTTATGATTGCTACCTCTTTATCAGTCTTGAGCTTTTGTGTTATAAAGTTTTTGGCTGCAATCATTGATAAAGAAAGATCAAGCATTTTACACTGATAAATATACATTTTAAAGTATACTAAAAATAAGTTTTTTGCGTTAGATAAATCATCCTTTGCATTATAGCCAAACATCATTTCTTTTATACCCAAAGATAAAAAAGGTGCTTCATTTATTTTAAGAAATTCCTTTATAAATTTTTTGACAATGGGACACATCCAGAATAGATGCTCAATGCTTTCAACATCATTACTACAAAAAGAACATAAAGGACTTTCTTTATACTTAATTTTGTATAAAAGATGATTGGTTCCAATAATCCTGTGTAAAATTCTTGTTTGGAACCATTGCAACTTAGCACATTTTGTAATTCTAAAAGGCATTTCGAATATAATTTTCCATTCGTTTTCACTAAAAGCTAAATTAAGGTTATTTGTCCATTTTTCGATACTTGTTGGCTTTGATTTGTTTTTATTTAATATATTATAGAAAGGTTTTGCTCCATTTATGTCTGATATAATATCTTTAAAGTATAGCGGTATGTCTGGGCCAATGCTTTTCTGTTGGATGTTATAGATTATATTATATTTATTTAAAAATTGCTTTACTGATAGAATCATACCGTTGAAAATTAAGATATTAGATTGGACATTGTATCTTTTTATAAATTCATTATAAGATAAAAACTTTCCATCAGATATAAGGTGTTCTATGTTACAAACTCCAGCATCGAACCATGATTTTAAATATACGCTTTTTGAACCAATTAATATGTTATTGTTATAAAATAAAGGATGTTTTCCGAAAGAATGATTTTCGATTGGAATTAATTCAATATAGCGTGAAAATGCTGTAAAAGTGTCCTTCCAAAAAAGATTGTTTGTTTCTTTTGCAAGTTTATCAAAATAATGGTTTCCGCAGTGAAAAAACTTTTGCATATCTATTTTGTCGTAAAGAATACTTTTCCAACTAGCATTTGAGATTATTCTTTTAAACCATGTTATTTTTAATGACATGATAAAGGCAGAAATATTTATCATCTGCAAGCCGCCCTCATCATAGTTTTTTACAATAACGGAAGACTTAATTTTTACATTTCCTTGCCAAATAAAGTCATAAAACATTTTATTTAATACACTGATTACATTTTCAGAAGGGTTTGGTAGTGAAATGAATAAATGATTAAGAGATGAAATCAAAAGAGATTTAATGACAGCAATTTTACCTATTGGTGTGAGAATTCTTCTTTTCCAATTTTGAATAACCTTTCGGATATTTTCTATTCTTTCGCTATAATTTAAATCTATTATTTTACTTAAGTCAACATGAAAATTTATGCCTAACATTTTAAATTGATGTTGATTCCAAGACAATTTCCATCTTGTTTTTATACTGTTTTGAGAATATTTCATTTTTCCTATCCACACAACCTTAGTTTTATCAAAATTAACATTAAGTCCCGATAGTTGTGCAAAATCTGACAAGATTTCCAAAGATTTATTTAAAGACGCACTTGATCCATCTAAAATCATTGTTGTGTCATCTGCAAATTGTGACAATTTATGTTCTACATTGTTAATGTTTATTCCTTTAATAATCTTATCATTTCTTATTTTTAAAGCTAGAACTTCAGCACATAATATAAAAATATAACATGAAAGAGGATCTCCTTGTCGGCAGCCTCTACCTATTTTTACAAAATTTGATAAAAACCCACATTGATTAACAGCAGAAGTTGCATCCTTATATAAAATATCAAACCATTTTTTTATAGACGGACCAAAGTTAAAAAAAGACAGAGTATTCTGTACAAATGACCAAGAGAGTGAATCAAAAGCTTTTTCAAAATCTATTAAAAGGAAAAGTCCAGGAATGTTATTTTCTTCAGTATACTGCATGATATCATAGATAAGACGGGTATTTTCTCCAATATATCTTCCTTTGATGAAACCTGTTTGATCTTTATTTATTAGTTTATCTAGAGTAAGTTTTATTCGATTCGCTATGCAACCTGCAGCAATTTTGTATACGGTATTTAGAAGTGTTATAGGTCTCCAATTTTTCACGAATTGTTTAGGTTTATTTTCTTTTGGAATACATGTTATTACACCTTGTGTTTGGGTCACTGACAATTTATTTGAAGTATAAGCATCATTGATAGCTCTTACCACAAAAGGACCTAAATTTTTCCAGAATACCTTATAAAAATCTGCACTAAAGCCTGATGTCCCCGGGCTTTTATTATTTGCCATATTTTGTAAAACTTTACTAGCTTCTTCATAATTTATATAGCCTTCTAATACATTGGATTCCGATTCACTTAAAACCGGTGCATCTATATTTTCCACAAATTGTAAAAATTGATCATTTGCATCATATGCTGATTTTTTGCTGAAAAGAGTTCTATAAAAATCTTCAATTTCTTTTAATATTAACTTTTGATCATTAAGAATACTACCGTCGTCTTTTTGAATCTTATGTATAGTCTTAGTTATGTAACTATGTTTTTCTAAACCGCAAAAAAAATTTGAAGGTTTTTCTCCTTCTAACGTCCATTTTGCTCTTGACCTTATAAGATAACCCTGAAGCTGAATATTATTAAGTTCTTTTAGATTATTTTGCAATTCTTGCAATCGGTTAAGTTTATCGTCTGACAAGTTTGATTCGATTTCATGTATTTCATTTATTATTCTTTTTTCATCATTTCTTTCTTTTTTCTTAAGATAACTGCTGTAAGATATAGCTGTCCCTCTCAGTTCCATTAAAAGTGTTTCTAAAAACAACTGATCGTTTGTCGTAAACTGAATTTCATCATTTGGTATTTCCGATATATTTTCAAGGTTATATATAGGTAAAGCATACTGTTTTTTAATATCAACTATTTTTGTCTGTATTTTATTCAAATAATCTATATCTTTTAAAAGGGAATTATTATGTTTCCATAGACCTTTTCCGTGTATAAAGTCATTAAACTTTATCTTCATTATAAGAATTGAATGATCTGACTGATAGTTTGTCTCAATTTTAATATTTTCTACATGAGGGAAAATTGTTTCAGTTACCAGGAAAAAATCAAGGCGTGCTTGTTGGAGTGGAGTCGGTTTACGCCAAGTGTATCTGTTCAGATTTGGAAAAAATTCTCTGAATGGATCAACAAGATTTCGCTGATCAATATTTTGTAATATACAAATTTATAGTTGTAATAATCTTTGTCAGGATCTAGAACTAAGTTAAAATCTCCACACAGGATATAAGAATCGTTTCCTATTCTGTCAATGATATCAAACAGTTCACTGTAAAAAATTGGTTGATCTGTATACTAGGCATACTAGTTAGTGTTATTCGATAAGTAAATGGGTTATTCTCTTATTTTCTCATCTTATTTTCTTTCATACTATCTATTCTTATTTCTAATTTTTTTCTTACATTAATATAACAGCGATCCTCAAATCTTGGCGTCTGCTTTGTAATAATTTCATTTAAGATACTAGAATGTTTTGATTTATGAAAATTAAATTTTGATTCTTTGTTTTTAGACAATTCCGATTAGACGAACAAAGTCATTGGATGGTGTCAAAACTCCAATACAGAAAGATGATAAGGCTTCCACTCCCACGAAGGTAGACTATTTGATTTTAGAACTCTAAATGTTAATATACAAATATAAGGCTCTAAAATATATGAAGTATTGATAATAATGATTATTTGATTTGGTTTAGGCTTTTCCGAATATTGTTATGTACGAATCCTACGTGGCTGCTTGTCTTGCACAATGGCAACTGTTTTAAGTGGTAAAACCGTATTGAGGCTTATGCGGTAGTAAGGATTTAGCGTAGCTAGGCTTGGTATCAGTTAACCATAAGTATGTAAATCGCCCAAACAGAAAACACCATGACAAATTGACATATGAAAGTAAAGGATGATCGAAACTTTCACCTGTAATAAGTAGCAGTACAAGAAGAATCTTAATTGTTATTTCTTTTTGTATAGATTTCTTAGAATATAAAAGAATCCATTTTTCTTGTAAAGTGTAAATAAACTTTTATGTAATGACGAAACATATGTTAATAATGTAAATGTTATAATATTGGCATGAAATTAAAACTTACTGTGTTATCACAGGGAACTAAGAATAGATGGAGCTATACTGATGGTACATGGATCAAGAAAGAAGTACATGTAAAAGACGATTCTGTTGATCAACAAGCGGCTCTTGAAATTAAACAGGTGACAGAGTTGAAGGAAGATTCTATTGATATAAAGAAACAAGAAGAGGTAACAATTGTTTTAGACTTGCATTCTAAAAATTAATTTAGATTTTTGCTAAGTCTGGAATATCATCGTATGAGTACTATAAAGAACTTATGCATATTATTTTTATCAATTATATACGTGACTGACATTTTAAGAAAAATTGATTTGGCACTGTCTCTCATGATAATTATATAGTACATTTTTATGAATTCTAGGAGCAAAGGAAAGATGAAAAGGAAAAGGAGAAAAACAGTGAGAAAGTAGAAGTGAAGAATGAGAAAAATAAGGTAGAGCTGTTTTATTTTATATAATTATCAAGCATGTGTAATATCCTTTTAATTAATACCTCATACCAGTTATATGTAACGTAACATTAGAAGTTCAAAATCAAAATTTTATTCTATTCTCTTCAAAAATAGTTTTTGTTTGAAGGCAGCTTTTACAAAATTGTTCTGTTACACGATCATGATGGTTTAGCTTACCATAGTTCAAAGAGCTGAGTTCTCAACTCAGATGTCCGCTCGTACTTAATCTGGTCATCAACACACAAGTAAAACTAAAAAGTCGCCATAATAATTATGATAAATTAAATGTTGGTGTGAGTTGAGATGGAGATATTTGCCAGTATCACATACTTATGGGAGGGGGGAGTGTGGAGTGAATTAAGAAGAAAACAGCGAAATGGTCTGATGGTTTAGGGTTTAAGAAATTATTTTTCAGATCTTTTCAATCAATTTTTTATGATGCAGTTTTTCCCATTAGGGACATATAACCATTTTCCTAAATAAGCTTTTTTCTGTGTTCAAACTCTGACTTAGACCCTGACCCCTTACTCTTTTTATCAGTTGCATACATGTATATAAAAATTATAAATATAACAAAAATATGTGTAGGATATAATTATTCAACATGCTTTGGGACTCCTATTTTGAAAATATTAGTGAGATCCTTGTTTATTTCAATGGTTCAGCATCTTGTTTTGTGTCTACATTGATGTTATCACTAATTCAAAGAAAGACTATTAGTTTTAGACACTGAAGAGTTACTTTGAAGATAAACAGTTAATGTATATATTGGATATAAAATGATTTATTTTCTTTGTGGTATTTTCTTAATTTTATGATAATAGTGTGATTAATGGATAAATTGTTACATTTATCTGATATCTTTTTTTCGAAGATTTTGAAGTAGCAAACATAAAAATAGCAAATATTTTCGAACGTGCTACGGGGGTCTTACCCCCCTCCCACGCCCATTCCAATTCCTGCGCAGAACTTGCCGATGTGCCTTGCAAAATTTCTGAGGAAAGGCTTGGCTTTATAAATTCAAATTAAAAACTATTTTTCATGTATTTTATTATACTGTTTACAATTTTGTTTTAATTTTGTGTATTGTTAAATGTTTTAAGTGGTGAAATTATATTCAGTGTGTACATAAAAGTGTGTTCCTTACTAACATCCAACTATTATTTTTTTGCCAAAGAGCCGAGGAGAGAGTCAACGCAGAAAATGCCTTGATGTCAAAGATCTAGAGGTAGGTGAAATTACAAATTTATTCGTGATAAGTCTTTCTGAATCAGCTGTGAGAGACGAATGGACAACTGACTTAATGTCCTTGATCAATTGCCACAAGGAAACTTTCGCCTAGGCCTGGGATCATATCAGCGACCCCTGAATTAATAATCCGATGCTTTTCCGATTGAGCTAACCGGGTTACAAAAAAGTTTTTACGGTTTTCGTTAAATAGATATATCATACACGTCTACCTTAACATCTTAACACAAAATGCTTTAAGGCGAGCCTTTTAAGGGCTGATCACTCGTGTGTCCAAAGTTGCTATACTTCCTTCTTGATCAAACTTCATAAAAATTATTCTCTGAAATCACTCTTCAAAATTATATAAATGTTTCGTGTCCGATTAATAAGTAGATTATTAGAGCGAAGGGAAGCCTTTAGAAACGGCATAATATGCTTTAGAAACGATTTATTTTCTTATTTATAAAAGACAAGCTTTTATTTAATGATACATGTACTAATTGGATTAAAGCTAACAAACTAATAAAGATGAATAAGAAGTTGACATAGGGTGACTTTTGGTTTAGGTGTTTCATTTACGTACTTTTGTTTTGTTACAAATTTTCAACTTATCTAGCAACACATCTCAGATGAACGATTTAATATCGACAAGGGTCTCTTTAAACATAATTTCATAACATTTTATACGTGAAACAATGCATAATCTGAATTAAAATAATTTGCAATTAATGATTTTCTATTCAAAGTAAATAATATATGCATACACATTTATTACAGAAAGCTCTGGCCAATCAAAAAAAGGCAGATACAACCAACGAACAAACAAATACAAAAGATTCAAAACTTTCAAGTCAGAAAACCGAACATGTTGCTGATGTGGTATATGAGGTATGATATCGAACAAGAGGAACGAGAAATAAGACTGAAACTGCATCTCCGAAACTGCATCTCCTACATAAATACTTACATTTAATAAACACTAGAGGAATGACCATTTTGTCGTGCTCTACCGATACTGCTAGAATTGTTACTGTCTTCTGAATAAGATTGCTGCCATAGCTAAGAAAGAAATAATTATAACTTATCATTAAATGATTCTTTACGAAAATGTAAATTCATTATGGTCTGCAGACACGTTGACTGTCTTTTTATTAGCATGTAAGAATGGAGATAGATATATTTTTATCTTGCATTATAATATAAAAAACACGATTTATAGTTCAATGCTTTGCAATTAATCACTCAGGCCTAAAGGCTTTCGTGATAATATTCCTACGCTTTTAAATTCGAACCTTGCATTATTCTACAACAATGCACTCAAAATTGATATTTATTTCCTAAATAAAATATCATGATTGTTTCATTTACCAATAAGTGAAAATCTTTGCTCCCCCAACATGGTACTATAAGTCATTAAACATATTTCATATTTTACGTATATATAGGAATATGAAAATACTTCTATGTATAGATCATACCTCTAGATTAATATTACATCAAATAATATAGTATCTACTAGATTTTGTTTAAATTTGGGAAGCAATTAACTGGTATGTGAGGCAAGATGGTATGTAGATCCTTGGGTTGGAGACAATACGAACGTGATAAATGTTATAAATGGATCTGGATCACATGTGTAGTTAAAATTGTTGAATTAATGTTCTATAGGTACCGGAATGTACACCAAGCAAGCAAGATGAGACTGGTTTTAATGATCAACAAACGGCACCTAAAATTAATCAAGTTGATCAACCAGGAGGAAAAACATACCATGATGTAAACAATTCACCGGGAAAGGTTAGTTTGCATAAGAACCATTGTATCATATCGAGAAAATTTGATGGAATGACCTGTAATTATTAGGTTTAAGGCACTTCAGTGCTCTTATTTACTTACATATTTGAAAATGTTTTATATTCTATGATCTGAATAAAACGTTTTTGTTTTAAAATATGATTAAGATTATAACGCATTAGCTTTTTAATTCTCTTCCTACGTAAGCACTTAAGAACTGATTCAAAATTCTATTATTTTCAAATACTTTTAACTCGTCCAAAATTGAAAGCTACAAGGTAACGATTTAAAAGTCTTATGTTTCTACCTAAATAGGATGTTTTTAGAATTTATCCATTTTACTTGTTATATTTGGTAATCTAAACTGAGTTCCATCTGATTTATACCAGTTATTATGTTTAAATGTTCTAAACTTCGAGATAAGGAATTTTATTCACTAGATTTTAAATTAGTATTTCTTTATTTTAAAAGTATATTTTAACCAGTTAGTTCATCTTATTTTTATGGTATTAACAAATATCTGAAATAAATATTGAAACTGATTCTGATTAATCATAGGTAACAGGTTGTACATCAGCCTACCAAGATTTTGTCGATGAGAGAAAAACGGCACCTGAAATTGATCAGTTGCCAGAAGAGAAAACTGAGTCTGCAGTGATTGATTCAGTGAAGGTAAGTTTAAATTATTGGACATAGTATCGGATCATTTTGAATGTATTCTTAAAAAAGTTTATTAGCATAAATCTTGTAGACATGAGGAGGTTAAGGCCACACTTGAATGTCAAATGAAGTGATATGATTGGGATCAGAACAGTTCTCGATTTGGTGTGATACTAATTTTGTGTGGAATCATACTCGTGGGGATTCTTTAACCTAATATGTCATGCATTATACTCGTTCGATGTTAATAACAATTGGATTAACACCCGGAGAATTGACCTGATATTATTTAAATGCTAAGACCCAGGGAGTTAGTCTCAAAGATTACACTCTAAAATCTTTGTAATCAAATATAAATGTATAGTGATGTGTAATAAAAACTAAATACTGTTCATTTCTAAATGAAATTTAAAATGTCTTTGCACATGGTGGCGACATGTTGATACGTGATTATCTTACTGTCCAAAGCATACATAATACTGTCAAGGTCACGATTTTCAATTCAAAGACATGATATGAATTATTCCTAAAAGTGTGTCTTCGGGTGAGAAAAATGTGCAGCCTGACCGCGACTCGAACCCGGGACTCTCCTCGGAATACCGTTTCGCAAATCTACCGACTGAGCTATCCGACCGCTTACACATCTCCCCAAAATAGTAAAATCAGTTCTAAACTTTTTGGACATACTCCCCCCCTTTTATTTTTTGGAATTTTTTCCTCGATGTCTCGTTTGAAAACAGAGAAATGTAAATTTAAAGCTCCGAAGCTATATGCAGGCATTCCCCCCTTTTTGGGTCCCAAAAAGGTCACACGGTAAAAAAAATGGGGGGCCCCCGCCGGGATCTAAACGGGGGCCCTGGGAAAAATTTCCGTTTCGAGTTTTTACCGACTGGGGGCTACCCGGGCCCCGCTTAAAATGTTTTTCCCCTTTAAATAGTAAACCCATTTTCCTGAATTTTGGCAAGTGAAAAAAATTTAAAAAATGGTCATGTTCTCTCTGGAAAGGGAAATGAAAAAAATTTATTTTTTTCAATAAAACTTAAATTTTAAATCTTACTTTTTTATAACCCAAAGGGGCCAGTATTGATTAACAAGTTGTTAATACTTTCCTTTGTCACATATTTATATACTTGCAAATAACGATTAAACATGCTAGAAATATTATTATAGTGACGTTGATAAAATTTTGAATAAAAAAAGTATTTTCATAGGAAATGAGGTGTAAGTGGAGCAAGGAAGTAAAAGGCAATTCTAGGAATCAACAGCAGATACCTGACATTAGACAGGTGCCTGGGAAGAAAACAGACTTTAATGATGATAATAAGCCTGGAAAGGTATGTTTTTGTTACACTTTTATGCTTTATTTTTTTTATCTTTATTTTATGTCGGAAGTAGTTTTGAAGGCAACATGTTTCTTAAATGTATATCTCTTAAGACACAGACAAGGTGAATATTCCCTTTCATTAATGATCATGTCATGTATGGAAAGGTTACTGGTGCGAATAGAATAATTTTAAAGTCAGGTTTGAAAATAAACACCTCATTTATAAACATTAGTGGGACTAAAATATTTAATTGCATTATCTAGAGCCGTATAAGTTATGATGTTCTTAATATGAAAGATTTGATTTTTATACATATATGTTTAATATGTTATTAAACAGAAACATGATTGTTAACTCTACCTTTCCTATTTTGCCGTTTTGTTATATGTTTACATAATGTTTTATGTATAGCTCTTTTTTACTTTTCATGCTTAACTTTGTCTGGGGAAAGCCCCGAAACTTTTCGGATTGAAAGACAGGTGAAGAGATCTTATTAAAAAGAAGTGCAATACACAAATTCCATAACTCTTCGCTTCATTGTTTTTTAAGTTATTGCCGTTCATTTTTTTTTCTAGTATAATTTTGATACGACTATAATCTGTGGAGGTATGACATATGAGGTTGAGAAATATCTGGAGTATGTTTATGACCTCAGTATACATAATTATTATATAATTATTAAACACTCATTTATTTAACTCTTATGACTTCAGTTATGTAAATTGCTTGGAAAAGTGGTAGTTAAATTATTGATAAAATTTCCTTTCCTTTTTTCTTATTAGGCAGATGTGCCTCAAAATAAGCCGACTTTACCCCCAAAGCCAAAGGACCTTCTTCTGGTAAGTGTATTTTATTCAGTTATTCAGTATGCAATTAATTTAATTCAAACTTGTAAAGCCTTTGCGACCATTTGATTGTTGTGTTTAAGTTGTTGACATGTATCAGAGTGTCACGATCAGTTAATGGCAAAAGTAGCGGAAATAATCAATGGAGAAAACAAGCTTATTAACTAATTAAAGTTACAACGTAGGTAGGTAGGTAGGTCTGGATTATCAGATGGTCAGATATATAAATATAGTGATAAAAATTTTAATGCTTGAATTTCAGTTTTAATAGTTTGATTTTTTAACCTTACTTTATACGGAGAATTAAGTTAAACAAATTGTTAAGACTATAGTATATCAAGAATAACCAGAAAATATCAAACGTGTTATATGTGAGATCCACCTGGATAACTTACCGAATACATATCCCATATGATTTCCGAATCAGCAGTGAGGGAATATTGATAAGAAGACTTAATGTCCGGGATCATTTGTTACATAGATATCACGCCTCGCCTGGGAACCGAACCTCACCTAAATTTTCCGCTGTCGTTGGAATCAGGAGAGGGATAATGTTTTGGCGTTGTCCGTCCGTCCGTCCTCCCCTCCGTCCGTCCGAATTTCGTTTCCGCGCTAGTTCTCTGCAACTACTGGCTGGAATTCAACGAAACTTTATTGGAATCAACAATATCAAGAGAAGATGCGCATATCGTCGGCTTGTTCCAGTCAGACACTTCAACTCAGAGTTATGATTAGTTATGCATAGACAGCAATAATCGTTTCCACGCTTCTTCTCCATGACTACTGGCTGGAATTCAACGAAACGTTATGGGTAGCATCAATATCAAGAGGAGATGCGCATATTGTCGGCTTGTTTAAGTGAGACCTTTTAACTCAGAGCCATGGTCCTTAATAAGTTATGCATTATGCTTATAGAGCAAAAATTGTTTCCGCGCTACTTCTCTGAAACTACTGGCTGGAATTCAACGAAACTTTATGGGAACCTTCAATACCAAGAGATGAGCATATCTCCTCCTTGTTCCGATCAGACACTTTAACTCAGAGTTATGGCCCTTGATTAGTTATGCATTATGCATATAGAGAAATAATTGTTTCCCCGCTACTTCTCTGCAACTACTGGCTGGAATTCAATTTAGCTTTATGGGAACCATAAATACTACGAGGAGATGTGCATAATTTGTTGCCTTGTTCAGACAAGACCCTTCATTACAGAGTTATGGCCCTTGATTATTTATGTAGTATGCAGATAGAGCAATATTGCTATTTCTTTGCAACTACTGTATTGATTTCAACAAAACTGTTATTGCCCTAAATATTTTTCGTGTACAAAGAATATTACTGTTTACACCATGATAGATATATATATATAAATAAAGCCTTATGTCTTCAGTTGTTGTGATAGTAATAAACAGTACTCGGCGGGTATATAAATTCAACGAATTTGCTTGTTGAATCTGCGTAAAACAACCTCACTTTAAGATAGAAATCATAAAATGTCGTTATTTAATCTTTTCATTGAAAGCATCTTTTGCTAGTCCGTAAGGCAGTTGAAAACAACTACTTTTGTAGCATATACTATTATTTGAAACTGTTCCATCCTTATTTTATTTATCTGTAGGAAATAGAAGAAGACGGTGCAGATTCAGACGGATATTCTGTATGTACATGTCATTAATTGTATAACCTTCCTCCTGTAAATAATTCATACTGAAAATGTATTTCAAGATGTTGTCTTTTAAGAATATATAGTTTTGACCTATGCAATTTTCATATATGTTTTGATTACGTATTCTTTTCAGCTACCCTGAGCCGTCTCAGGGTGAGCTTGTAGGATCGTTAATTTCGTCGTTTGTCGTTCGTCGTCCATCCACATCTAGTTCGCTAACACTGCCGTAGTCACATTCTTGGCCCAGATGTCATCAAACGTTGTCAGGATGTTTGTACAAGTTTTTGCTTGAATGAGTTTGAACATGTTTAATCTCGGATGAAAAACTAGGCTTACATGAGCTAAAAGTAGAAAAAAATCTTGTTAACACTATAGTGGTAAATTTTTTGTTCCTAATATCTTGGAAATTGGTCAGAAAGGTTGTTCACTAGATGATGTTTTGCTCATGTTCGAATATGGCTCACCTGGAGTCGAAAACTAGGTCACTTTGCCCAACTATGGAAAATTCTTGTTAACACGGTAGATGCTACTGTTTCAGTCCAAATATCCTGGAAATTGGTCAGGAAGGTTGTTAAGTAGCTGATTTTTCGGTCATGTTCCTAAATGGGTAATCTGTGGTCATATTACTTGGTCACACAGCCCAGTATGGAAAACCTTCTTAACACTAAAAGAGGCTTCTGTTTTAGATTCAAATTATCCTTGAAAATCGGGAAAAAAGGTTTTTTCATTTTTTTAAAAAATGGTCTTGAAAAAAAATTGGGTCACACACCCAATTGAGAAAACGGTTAATACTCTAGAGGTACTGTTTTTCGCCGAATGCCCGGGAAACCTCAGAAAGTTTTTAAAGGGATTTCTATGCCATTTTAAATTTGGGGTCATTTTGGGGGAAAAATCTAGTCCAAACCCCAATTATGGAAATAAACATTATTTACATCCTCATCCGAGAGATAATAACTTCACCCCAAATGTCCTTAAATTTTAACATGAAGGTTGTTTCGATAATTTCTAGCTGAAACTTCAATATGGGTTATACGCGGTCAAAAACGACATGTACTGTAGGTCGTAAGACCAAAAATGAAAGAAAAAGCTTGTTGACACTCTAGAGATCACATTTTAGCCCAAATGCCCTGGAATTGGTTAGAAAGGTTGTTTGTTTGATTTCTAAGTCAAGTTTAAATATGGGTCATCTGGGGTAAAAAAAAATAAACTTTTATCAACTCGATGTTGTTTTTAAAACAAGAAATAATAAAAAATAGAGCTAGTGTTACAGTCCTGTCGGTATTACCATGGCCTTCAGCGTCCCCAAAACTCTAATGTTTATCGTAAGTTTTTAAGTTCTCAGTGTATTGTTATCATATTTAGCCACAACCACCCTTGGGAGAAAATCTTCAAGTAGGCTAGACTAAAATTGACCTTCTTTCATAAATAATATTGACCACCTTTAAGGTCAAATGTCCCTTTTTATGCCACCGCAGCATCTGCGATGCGGTGGCATATAGCGATTCACCTGTGTGTGTGTGTGTGTGTGTGTGTGTGTGTTTTGTTTGTGTGTGTGTGTGTTATATAGATTATATAGTGAACTTAAAAAATCTTCTTGTGAAAAACCACTAGTCCAATTTCAACCAAACTTGGCAGGATTGATCCTTGGGTGAAGGGCTTCCAAAGTTGTTCAAAGAATTTAATTCCATGCAGAAATCTGGTTGCCATGGCAACCAAAAGGAATTATAAGAATAAATTTAAAAAATCTTCTTGTAAAGACCCAAAAGGCCTAGAGCTTAGATATTTTGCATAAGGCATTATCTTGGTAGACCTCTACCAAGATTGTTCAAATTATAGCCCTGGGGTCAAAATCGGCCCCGCCCCAGGGGTCATTGATTTTCACTATATGTACATATAGTAAAAACTTAAAATACCTTTTTGTAAAGATCCATAGGCCTAGAGCTTAGATATTTTGCATAAGGCATTGTCTGGTAGACCTCTACCAATATTATTCAAATTATAGCCCTGGGGTCAAAATCAGCCCTGCCCCGGGGGTCATGGATTTTCACTATATGTACATATAGTAAAAATTTAAAATACCTTCTTGTAAAGACCCAAAAGACCTAGAGCTTAGATATTTTGCATAAGGCATTGTCTGATAGACCTCTACCCAGATTGTTCAAATTATAGCCCTGGGGTCAAAATCGGCCCGGCCCGGGGGGTCATTGATTTTCCTCATATTTACATAGTAAAAACTTATAGTAAAAACTTGAAACAAATTTCTTCTAGCAATTGACAAATGCTAGAGGTTAGATACTTTGCACGAAACATTGTGAAGTGAACCTCTAGCAAGAATGTTCAAATAATAGCCCTGGGGGTCAAAATTGCCCCCGCCCCGGGGTCATTGATTTTCAATATATACATATAGTAAAAAATAAAAAAAATCTTATTGTCTGAAGGTACAAGGCTTAGAGCTTTAATATTTGTTAAATGATATCATCTATAGGTACTCTACCAAAGTTGTTCAAATTTTGCCTCTAGTGTCAAAATTAAAAGTGAACTTTGATATCAGCTGACCTAGATTTTGACAAAGTGTATTACATGTTGTCCTTTGATGCAGTCATGAAATTTTAGGCTGTGTGAAATATGACCTTCACCACCAAATTCACTAGACTCAAGTGCATTGATATATTCCTACTCTGATCTTTTATTGAGTTAACAATAGATTTAACCACTAATCTGATAATAAGAATTAGATATGCATTATGACAATCTTCAATTGTGTAGAAACAAAAAAAATCTGCTCCTACACTACTATTTAGTGTTGTATTAATGCGGTGGCATAGCATTTTTCTCAAATGCAATCTTGTTTTTACTTGAATTTTGTTGATTTTGCTATAAATGAGTTCGATGTGATTTATACCTGGACAAAACAAGACTTTTTTCCAAACAAACAAGTTGAATAAATAAGATGTTTTCTTGACCTTAAACTGACCCTGACCATCAAGTTCAAAATATGATCTGATTTATACGTGGACAAGACAAGACATTTTACCAAACAAACAAATTGAATAATTCAGATCTGACATTGACCTTTAAATGACCGTGATCATCAAGTTCAAATTATGATTTGACTTAAACTTTCTACCAAACAAACATATTGGAAAATTCAGGTGTGACCTTGAACTTTAAATCACTTTGCCCGTCAAGGTCAAATCAATGAAATTATTTTATTTTATCCTATTACCATGTGCACTGTTTTAGATGTAAAATCAGCTGACCTAAATAAGTTGTCGAAGAGACCTTTTTTCCTGTCCTTTGATGTACAGCTATGAAATTTAGCCCATGTTCACAGTTTTGCATGAACTTGAATGATATCAGCTGACCTAGATTTTGATAACATGGTCTTTTTTCTTGACCTTTGAAGTACACCTTTGAAACTAAGAAACCTTATAGAAATGTTGTTATACATTTTTGCACATTGATTGCAGACAATTGATAGAATGAGCTCCGTTTCCCAGAATGAGTCAGGTGTTTTCGAGTCTTCATCGGGATCGTCAGATATTGATCACTCTAGAATTGAGTATATGTTAGACGTATATATGCAGTTCATTAAGCATCAGGTCAAAGTAACTGATGTAATTGATCACCTGCATTTCCTTAGTAAGTATGCGCTTATTTGATTTCATATTAGCTTGACATTTTCGAAGATAAATTTCAAGCTTTTGCTACAGTCATGTTGCCGTTGACGTTTCCATTGTTGTTGCTCTGCCCGCTGTCGTTGCCGCACGAATTCTGTAACGTTGTTCATATTTTTTTATTAATTGGCAATTCAACTGTTGTTTACTTCCAAGTGACATTGACTGATTGACTTACTTGCTAATCAATGAGCAGATTTGTTCCATACCGTCACTACAAAGACTGTGAACATCGGCAAGTTAAATTAAATACCAGAAGATGACATAACTGTCATTACAGATTGTTTGGGTTTAAAATCACATAAAGAAGGGTCTCATGTGGTGGGGTTCACATTCTTTACTTACATTAGAAAAACCTCAAAATAGTGCTTTTGAACGTAATTGTTTTAATGCTCAACAAAAAAACCAAAAAAATAACAAACATACAATATCTTATCTCTGATTATAATTTGTATATTAATGCAAAATATTAATGCATTTTATGTATTATAATTAAAGTTTATATTTCAGGCGACCGAGAAAAAGATATTGTTCTTAGTAAGCACAATTTCTGTCAGTCTGATGCATTTGAGCTTCTAATAGAAATGATTAAGAAGAATGAGTTCAAAGGAAAGTGGCAGACATTCCGAAACGCGCTTGATATTAAAGGTACAACAATAACTTTCGTTTTATGTTCATTGATTTGTACCGTCATGAAACATGGCGTTTATTTTAACCGTCGATTATTAGAAACCAATATTTTATGGCTTTACGGTATGAAGAGTACAATGCGACCAATCAAAAGCAAATTTGACGTAAATCAAACATTATGATTGTTGGTCAACATTTATATATTTTGGTCTCTAAACAGGTGTTATCTCATCGTCTTTCATATTTGCAGAGTTTCAGCACATAAAACTTCTAATTGATGGGAAAACAGAGATGGATCATACCTGTAATAGGCGACTGCTTAAGCTTGTTAAGCCGGAGCTAGCGAAACGCATAGATGTGCAAAGTTTTCTTGACATAGCTTTTGAAAAAGAGCTTTTGACAGATGATGACAAATGTCTTGTGGATGCGCAGTTGAGAGAACACGGGGAAAGTGCAGCAGTTGAAGTAATATTAGACAAGATCCACACACATAAAAAAGATTGGAACACTATACTAATTGAAATCCTTCAAATGGAGAAATTCTGCCTTGGAGACATTGCTGAGCTATTTAAAGATATTGAAATGAAGGAACAAAAACCGTCAGCTAAAGGTAACCATATTTTCTATTGGTGTGCTACTTAAAACCAATCGTTGTCATTGACTTTAAACCACTTGCCCCTCACCGCCATGGGATCGACTTTGGATTTTGTCATGTGAGGAAGCTATCCAGCTAGCTTACTGAACGTCATTGGTTTTACTCATATGCCCTTTTGTAACTGAAATAATGCACGGAGTGCAACTTGAGGTCTTCCAGCAGCAGTTAAGCTGGGAAGTCGCCATAAAACATTTACAATAGGCGATTTTTAGCTTACCTGTCACAAAGTGACAGGGTGAGCTTAAGTGATCGCTTTTCGTCCGGCGTCCGTCCGTCCGTAAACTTTTACTTTACATGACATCTCCTCATAAACCAATAAGCCAACTTCACATGAATGTTCCTTTGGTGGTCACCTTTGAAAATTGTTCAAATAATTCAATTCCATGCAGAACTCTGGTTGCCATGGCAACCAAAAGAAAAAACTTTAAATATCTTCTTTTAAAAAACCTAAAGAGCTAGAGCTGAGATATTTTGCATGAAACATTTTCTAATAGATGTCTACAAAGTTTGTTCAAATTAGAGCCCTGGGGTCAAAATTGGTGCCACCCCGGGGGTCATTCATTTTCCTTATATGTGTATAGCAAAAACTTAAAAAATCTTCTTTGAAAAAACCCAAATAGCTAGAGTTTAGATACTAAGCATGAAACATCTTCTAGTCAGTGTCTACAAAGTTTGTTCAAATAAAAGCCCTGGGGACAAAATTGGTGCCGCCCCGGGGGTCATTCATTTTCCTTATATGTGTATAGCAAAAACTTAAAAAACCGTCTTTAAAAAACTCAAATAGCTAGAGTTTAGATATTAAGCATAAAACATCTTCTAGTGAGTGTCTACAAAGTTTGTTCAAATAAAAGCCCTAGGGTCACAATTGGCCCTACCCCGGGGAACACTGATTTTCCTTATATGTATCAAGCAAAAATTTAAAAATCTTCTTTGAAAAAACCCGAATAGTTTGAGATTAAATATTAAGCATGAAACATCTTCTAGTAAGTGTCTACAAAGATTGTTCAAATAAAAGCCATCGGGTCAAAACTGGCCCCGCCCCAGGGGTGTCATTATTTTTAACTATATGTGTGTAATAAAAACTTTAAAAAATTTCTTTTAAAAAACCTAACAAGCTAGAGCTTAGATGTTTAGCATGAAACATCTTCTAATGGTTGTCTACCAAGTTTGTTCAAATTAAAGCCTTTGGGTTAAAATTGGCCTTGCGGGGGATCATTGATTTTCCTTTTATATGTGTATAGTAAAAACTTTAAAAAAATCTTTTAAAAAATCTTAAGAGCTAGAGTTTAGACACTATTGCGTGAGTGTCTACTAAATTTGTTCAATAAAAACCCTGGGGTAAAAATTGGACTCGCCGGGGCGGGGGTCATTGTTTTTCATTATATGTGTGTATTAAAAACTTAACATCGTTTTTAAAAAAACTCAAAGACCTAGAGCTTAGATATTAAGCATGAAACCTCTTTCAATGAGTGTTTACCAAGTTTGTTCAAATAAAAGCCCTGGGGTTTAAACTGGCCCCGCTCCGGGTACCTATATACAGGTGAGCGACTTCAGGGCCATCATGGCCCTCTTGTTTATATTTAATTTTGATGAATGTATTTTAACAAGAAAAAAGTAAATAAGTATTAAATTACGCAACTTGAAGGTATTAATTATGAACTTATTTGACAGAGATATGTCTTTAAATTCTTAATTATTTGCGTGTATTCTTATTTTTTGTACAGTATCAAACAGTGGAAAATAGAAATACTTCATAAATGTTCTGTTTTGCATATCCATTTTAAGATTCTGCATCTTGTACATGTATATGTATTACATATGTATCCGAAAAAGCACGTTTTTATCGGATCGGACAAGAATTTTTTTCTTCAAAAATATGCAAACTGATCAATTATTTAATGATAGGTACGAAGAAACGAACAAGAAAGGATATACGAAGCAAGAGCAATATCGAAATGGACTGGCGCTATCGATACTTCATGGAATTCGACAACGTCTCTTTTAAGTTGTCAATGCTCGGCAATACCGAAGGCCAAAATGGACCAACAAGTGATGATTTTAAAGATCTTACGTTGGAGATGAGGAAACTACGGGAAACAATAGAGAAACTTGATGATTTTAAAGATGATTTTAAAGCTCATATGTTGGTAATGAGGAAACTATTGGAAACAATAGAGAAACAAATGCGAATGTGATTACATTGAAGTAATTTTGAAGGAATGTTAGTCAACTAAGTGTATGATTCATTTGTAAATAATCTTTCACAACGTAGTCCAATATATGTAGTATCTTATTCTCGTTGCATTTATGATGGTTAAGAAGTCTACTTAAGGAAGTCTGTATTTAGGTGTAAGGTTGCATTATGTCTTTTTTCTAACATACTATGCACAGACTAGTTCTTTGTTTTGTAAAATAGATGAATAGTGAGTTTGATGTTAATTGTAAAGATACTCTTTAAAAAAGAGGGAAACCATGTTAAAGTTTTGATATGGCCTAAATTATGATAATCAGAGTCAAGAACCAAGGTATTTGAATTTTATATTGCTTCTTACTTTTTATACTTATATGAATATATGAAAACAGTAGGACTTGTTTTATCAAAAAATTCATATAGTTTATCAATTTTGTTTTTGTTTTGTTTAGTGAATTATAACCATGTTATTTTCATAGTCATACATTGTTTACCTTATCGTAAAGTAATAACAAAATGTATGCAAACTATATGTATATTTCATGATATTGATCGTTGCATTTTTGAGACATTGCATTTTCATCATTCTATTATTTTTTGTACTTTTCATAGCATTTATTGACGTTTAAGTTGAAATTCAGGTCCACCGTTATTAAACAAAATTTGTTTGCTCCTGACCTTTGTTCTTGTGGATTTATCGTTGATAATATGTTTACGTTTGTTAGTTAAAGTTATGATTTCATCGTTCCTGCACATTCTCAGCCCAATGATTCATTTCATTTCTTTACATAGTGTTTCTGTTTCAGTTTATTGCGATGCCTTGTCGTTGCCAGGTTACTGTTCCATGCCAATTAATATATTTACTTATATTATGATCTCGATCTTATCTATGGTCAGCTTTGTTTGGTTGTCGTCTCCTTTTTCATGTGTGTTACGACAGGTGTTTTTGTCAAGATTTGTATTAGTTTTTTATTATTTCTTGTAACAATATACTACCTCGAAATGCATCACATTTTATCCGACAATCTTTTGGCCTAAATATGTAAAATTGGTCCGTAGAACGAATAATTCATTTATTACATATGTGAGCCGAATGACATGATAGGCTTTATGACTTAAAAACGTAAAAATGTGCTGTTACTTTAGGAGGAGAATTGATTCAAGACATTACTATGGGGAAAAACATTAACTTCACATTGTTATTCACATGATATGTTTTTACTTTGAAGGTTATGATTTCTTTATCTCAGTCTTTGCTGAATTCTATTCAGTATTTAGACTTTGTTTAGTATTTGAATGTTACTGTGTTTTGAAATAATCATAATTAATCATTGTACATACGGGTTAAGTTTTTTATTATGATAAGATTTACCTGATTTATAGTTTATTAATGAGACATATGAGCCGCGTCACGACAAAACCAACATAATGGGTTTGCGACCAGCATGGATCCAGACCAGCCTGTGCATCCGCGCAGTCTGATCAGGACCCATGCTGTTCGCTTACATACTCCATAACAAGTAGAGAAACTGAAAGCGAACAGCATGGATCCTGATCAGACTGCGCGGATGCGCAGGCTGGTCTGGATCCATGCTGGTCGCACACCCATTATGTTGGTTTTGTCATGGCGCGGCTCATATATGTTATGTAACAGATGTTTACTCAGGTTTTGTCAAATTGAAAGCCGATTCAGGTGATAATTGTAACAATCCTCAATAAAAAGTATATACCTGGACATACTTCAAAATCATTATTATTCGTAGGACACTACGATTCATGCTTTTTTGTGGATAGGTCAATCTAAGCATTTAATTTCTAACGAGAGTACATTTCGTCTGCTGTAGAATCTTTTTATTGCTTAGTAATTTGCATTTTTTCCTACATAAATCCATGTTTAAAATAAAAAAACCCAAGAAGTAGAATTCGTGCCGAAAAAACCCAAAAAAACACACACACAAAACAACAATAACACACACACACACACACACGCACACACACACACACACAGAGGAAATTTCATGCCCATGAGATTAAACGAATTTACAGCATTTCATTTTTTAAGTGAAATACAGGAATTCATCAGTGAAATATATTCCATATTACTCAGTCACTTACATGACATATAAAATATGATCACAGTTTCGCATCTATATGATCTTAAATTTGCAAATGTTTATTCGGCAACTAAAAGGATGAACCTCTTATCTTTAAAGAAACGTCTTTTTTAGTTTACTTTGTTTACTGAACTTTACTTGTTCAATTGTTTTCGTCTTATGTATTTATGTATAATTTTCAGCATTATAATATTTTTCACAGGGGCTGTAGTCAATATATTTGCATGTCTAGTATTGTAAAATATGAAAATAAAACAAGAAAAAATTGTCAAATTTGTGTTTTATTGATTGTATTTAAAAGCTTTGTAGAAGATATTGGCTGTATAGATGGTATGACATGAATGACAACACATGTATGAAGTTCATATGATTTTGAATGTTGTTATGTTTCACTGAATTACTCGGAGCACCCTGGATGTTCCTTGATACTTATTCGATGAAACGCGCTTAGGCAGGGCGAACTTCATTAAAAGGAGCTACTAAAATGCCTGAAAAGCATTCATGATCAATGTTACTTACATTATTTAATATACTGCCTTAACTTATGGACCTATGCATACGTTTTCCTTGCAAGTGCACTCACATATACGTTAACGCGTTAAGGCGATTAGAATAGCAACAGATTGAACCCACACCATAAATCTATAAAAAATGAATATAGCAATAAAGTTTTAGCTTCGTCTGTGTAAATGTATTTGGATTGTGAATACTGTTGTTAGATTTATGAGGGGATTTCTATGATATGTATAATTTATCAAACTCTGTTTTAAATTCAGTGATCACATACTGATATATATAACATTTATTACATTTTTAATTCGATGAGATTCAAAAATTTTACGGAGGTCAATGATGATTTCGCTACAAAATTCGTTCCAGGCTGTATTCATGGTCTCATTTGCGGCTACCATTATTTATAGTATTTATAATATGAATCCAATGTATACACAAGTTTCAAAATCGTCCAATACAACGGAGCCAATACAATATACTTTTGGATCAGAGGAAATTGACGAGAATATAATGGAATTTAAGAAAAGCCAGGTAAGACAATGTCATGGAATTTAAAAGTTATATTTGTGTGCATTTGTATTTATAAATACGTTTCGCAGATTTATCACTTATATTATTATTAGAAGCAGAAAACATTTACATTTAAATAAGCCATTTTCCTGTTGTTGTTGTTTTTTAAGTAATAAGAAAGAAAGAAAGATTGGAAACAATCTCTTTTATTGATATATTTTGTAACCAACGTAAATAATATTGCTTATAATGGTATTACACAATCGAAATCGTCGACATGCTATTAAAAAACGAGATAATGTTCTATGTATAGCCCTCATTTGTAGTATAATACGGTCGTCAGGTTCTTATGAAATTCATACGAGCGTAAAACATTACATAATATGAAGGGATTTAGTTGGATTATCTTGATTTAAGACTGGAGTTTTGATACATATGTAACATAGAAACATATTAATTGTGAAATAATCGATTTGTTTTATTTTACTAAAGTTACCAACGTGTCCAATATTAGCAAACATTTGCTATATTATAATTACTGTAACGGGACAATACTCACCAAATTTTAGACAATAGATTTAAAGCTTCATAATGACCAGGAACATTATAATGTTGTTCTTTTCGTTTGTCTTTTTTTGCTCGGAGAGTGCATTAGTGACGGTTTTTGTTATATGATTAGCGGTATAAGTTTTTAAAATACATCTTTTAATTAGAATTGTTTATTCATTGATTAATTTGTTAATTTTGTCTACCTTTTAGTGGTTTAACATTTCGTATAAAAATGTACATTGTATTATTTCTTTCTATGTTACTAGTATATTTTTGTAAGTATCCAAACAGTTGTATTTTATTCTTTATTTCATAGTGACGAAAGCAAAATATGGATGCAATAACATACATATATCTACATTTTAACAATTGCAATATCCTCTGCATCTAATGTTTCAGAAAAACATCAGTCAAGTTCCGAATTTAATTCTTCAATACGGAAGACCTCGTACAGCTACGACTCTTCAATTTCAAATTGTGTGTTTAATGATGGCCATGCTCCATGAAGACGAAGCAAACAATGTTAATTGTTTCTACAGAACCGGCAATCGATTAAAATATAACGTAATAAAAACACATAAACTTATGCCATTTCTTGATGAAATACCGCCAGATTCATGGATTTTCATGACTTCCAGGGAGGCCGACAAAGTGAAATTGAACGGTGACAAACAGTTGATAAAGGATAAGAATTTTACTGTTCCATATATTGCCGATGTACGTTTGGTGTCAAAACGAAGTCATTTCATTGTTTACGAATATCAAAGAATTTTCGGATTTTCTGATGCTAAAATGGAGAAGATTGCTGAATATTTAAGATATTGGGATGTCCTCAGGGTGTGCTGTGGTAAACAGATGTCAGCCGATTGGCGCAATAAACTTGTTCCTAGTAAATATTACGTACCACATCACGACCCACACAGTCCAACATATCCCGCGTGTGAAATGTACAATATCAGTGAAGTTGAGTTGGGAATGATAAACACACATGTTTATATGAAACTTTCTAAAGCCGATTCTTTACGTCGATTTATTGGAAAACCTGAAATGAGTAATGTGGTATTAGATGGTACTTATTGTTCACGATGTAACGAAAATATTGCCAAGAAGAAATTAAAGTTTAATCAGAACTGTGATTAAACACTTCATTTGTTTTGTGAATCGTGCTTCAATCATTGTTATTTAATGAAAGTTTGTTATGAATTTATCATTAATGCCAGTTGTAACTTATATTAAGTAAAGAATATAAATAAAACATGTTTGTAGTAAATCTTGAAAACACTTAAAATTGTCAAACATAGCAAAAATTGAAAGGTTGCAAGTCCAAATTAATTTGGCCTATTTATGTATTGGTATATACGAACTACCTTAGTTTCACAAACCTCTAGCACGTGGTTGCTCTGATGGAGTAATCGTAAGAATATGTAAATTGATAACTTTTAGAATTTAATATCTACAACGTGTGCAAACGTTTTATATTTTAAAGTTATACTATGCTCAAATTTGATATTAGAAAATATTATACAATTATTGACAAATTTTATAGAATGTCATCAGTTAAATTTTTTTTATATTTTTCTTCTTTGCTTTTGTCATGTGACCACAGAATTATTATATTTGTTATTATTGTATGTAACGAGATACTTGCTGTATGAAAGAAATCTACATAGGTAGTGATGACGCAAAATGTGGTGTGCTTTGAAAAGTTTTAACAAATATATTTATTTATTCATTTATTTCAAATTGTTTGTTTTGCTTTGTAATTATGTTTGCAATATATCAATACATGTTTATATCGCCGTTATAAGTGTAAATATTTTACCAGATGTTGCTTTACACGTTTTACCATGAAATTATTTTCTTTTTAATAATGGAGTGCTCCTCTATCAACTCAAGCTTTACATTATGGTAGTAACGATACATACTTTTAATATAAAATCATGAGGAGATGTTGCCAACACGAATGTTTTCTGAATATTAGTTTATTTTTATTTCTATAACTCGGTTAAAGAAAAACCTTTATGTTATTTTAAATGCTACATTTCCTCAAATATGTTTTCTTAATAGAAATAATTATAACAAAATATTTAGTTTGAATAATACAGAATGAAAACTTCCAATGAGAGAGAGAGATAGAGATAGGGAAGGAGAGAGATGCCACCTTAGAACGCCCAAAATGGCAAATTTGTACAAATCTTGAAGGCTCGGTTTGATTTACCCAGTTTATTGACGAAAGTGATAAAATACACTCCGCGCATCCTAGCACCTTATGCAGAATTTAATTATTTCCTATAAATACTTGTTACTTTTTCATGAGGTTATTGTCTGAAAAAGAAAGCAAAACAGCGTTTGTGATCATTGACAAGATAAAATCATCTTCTGTTGTGCATTGTTACAACAGATACGGATTAAGATATAGCGTTATTTACAATAGAACGTTCTGTTTTAAAAGAGTGAGATAATGATAACATGAAATCAACATGTTACACGGCACATAATACACTTGTCAAGCTCTTTGTTTTAATCTTGATTTCATTAGAAAAAAGGAATGTGTATCCTATCCGTAAGCTCTTTTGTTATTACCATATCAACGCAATAATCCACGCTTCAAATGTACAGGGGAAAGTTATATTCATCGGCATAATATTCTTGAGTTTCAATATGGAAATATCTTTATTCATAATTATCATAACTTAGGCCTGTATTGCAACACAAATAGCAATTGTAGACACGTTAAGGAAGCCATGTTTGTACGGAGTTATTAGAAATAGCCCTGAACTGTTCTGCTTAACAAAAATGGTTTCAACATTAAATTTGTTGCAGGTGTTTGTAGCTGTGTGTTTATTAACAGCGACAACATATTTCTTTGTTATCAAAAGGATATATTACTTTAACCATGATTTGTATGTATTGGAGAAAATACAAATGGAATCAGAAAACTGCGAGGTAGGAATCTTTCTTTATTTTACTTTTAGATATAGGTAAAGTTTTATATGATCTCGTGCATCAGTTTCTGTATAGTGTTACATAAGAACAAGATAGTGAAAATGAATTATTTGAAAGATACTACACTTTTGTTACCTATCATTAGCATACTCATCCTAACTGAATCTGCATTTCTTCATTTTTTATTTCCATTTATTCAGTTTTGTTATGTTACTCTTCAGATAAAAGCCTTAAATTACATCTAACTAAACATTTTTGCAACAATTATCTTCATTAGTGTAAGATATTAACTATCATGTACCGAGCAGCCATATTCAAAGAAACTCTATCACTGTATTTGTAACTTTCAATTTTAGCTATTGTAATACTTTTTAGACATTTGAAGTTTGCAAATTGGAATTCAATGTGAAAGTCATCAGATACCATAGACATACACCAATCATCTTTCATTTTCAGACCTGTTTCACCAGCAAAGTTCCAAATTTGATCATACAGTATGGTGGTCAGCGGACCGCTACAACTTTTCAATTCCAAATTCTGTGCTTGATAATGGCCCTGTTGCACGAGGATGAAATAAACTCTGTCGGTTGTTATTATAGTAAAATCTTCACGAAAATGGTGTACAAGTATTCTGTTATTAAAACGCATACCCTGAAAAATTTCGTTATGGATTTACCAGCAGACACTTGGGTTTTTATGACTTCAAGCAACAATCTAAAGCCTGAGAAAAAGCTTGTTTATGAATGGAGTAAACGAAAAACAATAGAAAGACATATTAGAATACCTTTCATAGCAGAAATTGATATTGTCTCTAAACGTGGGTATTTTATAGTCTATGAGTATCAGGATATTTTTGGGTTGTCTGACAAACAAATGGAATACCTTTTGGAATATTTACGATACTGGGAAATACTTCGAGTATGCTGCGGTGTTCAAATGTCTTCAGACTGGAGGAATCAGCTTTCACCAGTTTCTAATTATAGTCAACATCATGATCCTCATAGTCCGGCTTACCCCGCTTGTGAAATGTACAATATAAGTCAGGTCGAAAATTTGATGCTCAAAACTTACGTCTTTCAGACATTTTCTCAAATCATTTCACTTCATCATGTCATCGGAAAGCCTTCAACAGCTGATGGTGAGCTAAATGGAACTTATTGTGAACGTTGTCAGGCAAATATAACCATGAACAACATACAATTTAATATACCTTGTACGTGAATTACAGTCAGGAAAACAAATTACAATCAAACTTGAGAGATTACAACCTTTGTGAAGTTCACTGCGTCTTTGGGCAAGGCAACAGAAACCTTAAAATGACTTGAAAGGAAATCACCATTATCGTAATAATAATTAAAAAGATCAGCTTTAACTACATGTATACGAGAAGGCCAACGGTGTATCTAGTAACGTCTTATAGACGCTCCAATGATGTTTCTCAACCTTTCAAATGTACAATATAACTACATGTATACAATAATATTTCAAATCTAACTATATTAAATATTGCATTTATATATTGAATTACCATATCATATTTACTTGCACATGTTCAATAATTTTGGATAAATAAAGGAGGAACGTAAGTAAAGAAAAGGTGGGTGAGACCACCAATGTTGTATTTTTTTGAAAAAAAATGTAAATTGCTATACTGAGCAAATAACATTTACAAGAATATATGTAACATCCGTACCCAAATACAGCCGTAGTTACATGGCTGATTATCAGTTGACATACAATTTTATATAAACAACACATTTGTGGGTAACAGTAAAATAATAATCCCAAGGAAAACACCGTAAGCCGAGGGTAAAAGTATTTTTACGAGGGATGATACTTTTACTGTTACTCACAAACCCATGTGTTTTTTAACTAATGTCCCTGAACACGTACTATGATTATTTGAAAACTTCTATCTGTAACAAAACTGAACCAAGAGTAACATTAACTCAACTATCTTTACCTTTCAAGCTGTAAGTGTACATGAGAAGTTTTTTTTCTTTAATTCTTTAAGCAAATGATGATGCCTACCAGTCATTTATATACAATAAGCTATGTTTCAATTTGAAATCAAAACACAAACCAATTTATACGGTTATGATCTGTGAATCTGTTCCTACTGTCTCCAGAATATACTTCTCAAGTACACAAATTCGACAATGTGCATCAACGAAATTACGACGGTATCCTTCATCGGTTTACCACACTGTTAAAATTAGTAAATAATCCTAAGTTGCATGCTTTAATCATCTGCTTGTTCCATTTTGACACAATCATAATACATCCCATTCAATAATTTCCGAAGAAAACGATTGTTGACTTCTTGACTATTCAACCAAAACGTATTAAGGACGCGAAAAAAACTGTACATTAGGTGAAACAACTAAATTTTCTAGGTTCTTCACAGTCACTCTGACCTGTGATGCCTCTGCGTGGTAAAAATCGAATTATAAGATTTGAGAAAAAAGGCGGCTATTTTATTCATTTTCGAAAATAAACCACATGACCAGATCTTATACTGTTTAAGAGTACTGTTATCTATGAAACAGTTAAAAGTACTGTTATCTATGTAACAGTACTTATTTCTTTGCCACGTGGTACACTTGCACTAACAGTATGAATAACTCCCAGAGGTCTATGGGAAATTGACATTAGAAAAAAGTGAAAGGTAATAATATTTACGGTTATATGTGCTTGCAATGAAAACTATAGTTCTTCAAGACTATGTTTTTTATTGTGCTTAATCTGGAAAATATATTTCAAACTGGAAAGTATACAGCATATATACATGTTAAACTTTCATTCAAACTGTTTTAAAATATTTGTTCTCTTTTTCGAATAAGCACGATAGTTATCGACATTTTAAGATTTACATCTGCATGCAGGAACCTTCGGGGCAAGCATAATCTTTTGAACATCTATTGCCAGTGACTCCGTCTGTAGGTCGGGGACTGCTCGAACCTCCACTGCAGTAATAACCTTAAAAAAGAAACTTTTGAGTATGTAACTTGAGAATGTTCATCATATCTGTAGGATGGATATATTAGTTATAAGTAAAATATTCTGATGAATTACTTTATATTGAACATTTGTAATAAAAATCGAAACTATGAGTGTTGCTTAGGTTACCACAAGCGTCTTGGAAAATATCATAAAATGCCAAGAAAAAACACAAACTGAATGTTTATGAATGAAAACCACTTTCATATTGAATAAACTAACTTCTCTGTCCTTATTAGGATAGCCTTTTATGTAACGATTTACTCCAGAATACTGCACTTGCTTGGCTATTTCCTTTTCATTAGAGGTAATTTTATACTGTCCTTTTTTCTTACTTTCTTTACATATTATCAGAGATCTCCACTGTTTTCACCAATACCTTTGCCTGATTTTAATAATCTTGTTTAAAGAACCAGTATTATCAAAATACACAATTCATGATTCAGTTTCAGTTCAAAGTCAATAAAATTACATGAATGCATATTTCATATATAGATTGGTACACGACTTAAATGATGCAAGCTGGGTATCGTTTTTATTTTTTATCTCCTTTAAGAATTAGTGCCTTGTTTGTTAAACTTATTTGTAAACAGCATTATCAGCAATTTGATGCTGCAGTTTGCATTATAAACGTTTGTAATTATGAACGGTTTGTTGATGAATTGTAAGTTAAAGGTTGTTTTTAATAGTAATGAATTCTTATTCTTAATATATTGATCTGATACCAGCAACCAAGATACAAACTTACCAGAGTCACAGTTTCCCGTTGGCTGTTCAAGACCAGTCGAATCACAATAGAAACCACATGGACAAACTTTGCATTCAGAAACACTAGCTGCACCAGTCAAAGAAAGTATTGTTCCTACTGGGCAGGCAATTGACTGGACTGAGCCCATTGGACAGTAATGTCCTTTCGGACACTGAATACAATCGGTGATAGCTTTCCCGTTTGTTTGATCAAAAAATGTTCCGGCTGGGCAAAGAGTAGCTTGTGATGATCCAGATGGACAAAAGAAACCAACAGGGCATATGTTACAAGACCCTTGTCCAATAAGGCTGTTAAACGTTCCTGCAGGACAAATTGTTGGCTGAGCTGATCCAGGTGGACAATACATTGTTGATGGACATACGTTTATCTCAGTTTTGTTTGATGATAGAGTGCAGTAATAGCCGGCTGGACAATCAAAACAAGCTGACTGTCCAGTTAGATTATTGTAGGACCCAGCTGGGCAGATAATAGGTGAAGATACCCCAGTAGGACACATATGCCCAACAGGACATACGATACATGATGACTGCCCGGTTAAACGGTTAAATGATCCCTCCGCACACTGGATTGGAGCAGATGATCCGACAGGGCAGAAATGACCAACTGGACACATCAATCCAACATAGAGAGCTTCCGAAGGACAATAGACACCGGGTAGGCACACTTGGCATGACGTCTGTCGTATTAAGTTGTTAAACGTCCCAACTGGGCAAGGAAATGGATAAGAAGAACCATTTGGGCAGAAGTGTCCTATAGGACAGTGATTGATATCATCCAATAGAAGCCTCTTTATCCTCTGGTGACCTTCAATTAGGTATAACAAGTAATAAACAAATCAGAGTAACTAAACAATTGTAGAAATTCCAATTATCCAAGTACGATGAAAGTTTCTCCGTCGAAAATAAAAAGAAGAAAAAAGATTAAGTCAACAGATAATGACTCTAATACTTTTTTAAAACATAATTAATATTTCCCTCAGTATAATGTTGTTTGAATACTTAATTTATCTAGTCTAAGTGCATGTATTTGTTAAGCAAATTTTTATAAATGTATCATGGACAATATTTGTATTTGTTTTTAATTAAATAACTGTACACACTTAAGGTAAAATACAAATACAACCCGCCAGATAGAAAATCTCTTTTACATAAGATTGAGATAACGAATAGCATTGATGAAGCCATATTTGTTTGTTTGATACAATGTATACATGTTTAGCTTAATTTCTGGAAAGTATCTTAAGTTATAAAAAAGCATCATTGTAAGAGCAACTTGATAGATTATCTGAAGGTGACAACAGATTCGAAGTCTTGCCCTGATGTTTTTTTGTATTATTGTAAATCCAATATTTTCGCGCTGTCAAAATTTCACGAACTAGAAACATATTTTTGCGTAATTCCGACTCTTGTTAAATTCCTGCTATTGTATACTAAGTTGAAAAATCCACCCTGTTTAGATTAAGATTCTCCTATTATTCTACATGTATAATAAACCTTTTACCCTTTAATCTAGTTACTCATTGTATCTTTTGAAAATATATTGAAACATTCAAACTTTGAAAATGTTCGTTCAGAGTGTAAATGTGATTTTGCAGCATGTAACAAAATTATAAGTTATATTATATGACCCTTTGTTGACAGGGAACATAGAAAGGTACTATATAGATAACTTGAATTGATTTTCAAATATCTCTGAATCGATGTATAATTACTTACGAATACTTACATGTGACTGTCTCACTGTTGAAAATCAATATCCAGGCAAGAAAACCACACAAATAATCTTCAAATAAGCAAGTGCCATGAATGCAAACATTTCATGTACATGTATAATATAGTGTTCAATGATGAAGTCACTTATATCGGACAGCACTAAATTATAACTATACAACTTATTAAAGATAAAATAAATAAATAGCAGGCATGTATGCTTTAAATAAAATCACCTGTTTCGATGTTAACAAAACCGCTTGTAAAACTGTGAATATTTAAATGCATTATCAAAATTAAAATAAAAATTGAATTATTCAAAAATTACTCACCAAATTTAATCATTGTGCTATCTTTTTCAGCTGTAATTTATCTACATTTACCACCTTACATTTGTCAAACTAGTCAAACTGATAAGAAGTTACCATACCACATATTGTTGAAGTTCGCTCAGTAACATATCTGGTATCGTGTTATATTTGTTCTGTTCTTTCAGGACCATACGTATACAAGGTTGAATTCTGCTTTAGACCGGTAAACGTTTATCATCATCAATGCTGTCTATGTATTTCATCTGGTCTAGATTTTGTTTTCAATTACGGCCAGTTTTATTTAACGCATTTAATAAACGTTGAATATGCCAACACGACAAATTTGCGACCGACCTGTTCAACTGCAGCTTATCGGCCCTTACCGTAAACCTTCGGATAAGGACCCCGAACAGACACATACATGTATATATGATTTACACGGAAAATACACGGTATATGCCAATCTATCAAGTTTTTTGGCCTTAATTCAAAATATTCATATTGGCATGTGCATTAGAAATACAACGGTTGTAAGTGACTTCTTTAATTGGTGATATTTCAACGATATATTTTGCTGTTAACATGTTTATAAGAATGACTACACTAACACTATAACCATACATCTCCAATTTTTTGAAATGCTTTGTCCATAATAATCAATCGCTTATTACGAGGAAATAGTCGTTATGACTTCAAGCGTTTTACTGGTTAACAAATTTTAAATAATTCTGGGTTTTATTGAGTTAGTTATTTTATCGACTCAAATTATGACAATGTTTAAATATGTATATTGATAAAATGTAAATGCTAATTACATTGTATAATGTTTTTAGAAACCGAAAGCTCAAATGGCATACCTATCACCCCAAAATATATGTTATATATTCAACGTTATATCATATATGAAATATTAATTCCGCTTGTGTGACTCGAACCAGTACCAAACAAGTTCTAACTGATTCGGTAATTTCCCAACTACACCAACACAAGATAGTCTTTGCAAGTTCAAGTAAACTCTATTAAAATTTAATATCAAATCTGTTTTTTCTTAATTCCAGAATTGCCCGACTAATATGCCGATATTCAAATAAATAAGCAAATTCCGATTCTTTCCGAAAACTACCTACAGGCAACCGTTAATTGTCCGCCAGTTTTAAAACTACTAAAATAAATCCGATTCCATCAGCTCTAAACCAGAATATGAACATGAATTTTAAATTTTTACATCTTATGATATTCATGTTTTTTCTAATTGTTTGCATTATTTTCAACAACATTATCGATCATACCATAATAGCTACAACGTTTACAAGCAAGGCCTGCATTAAAATAAAAACTATTTTAAATAGATCTTTAAAAAAATTGTATCAAATCCCTTTTTTGTGAATTACAAGTATTCCACTTTTTCAAAATGCAGTATGCTAAAATAACTCTGGTTATAGCAATATTTCATCCTGCCAAATGCATTTTATCACATTAAGTTATTACTAACAGCACGATACAATTAATACATGTATACGAGTATTATAAAATACATGTATATTTGTTACCCCGAGAGTAAAGGGGTAAGAATAATGAAAAAGAAAATATAATATTTTCTTATTCTGCATTACTTTGGTATATGTAAATCATAATTTGACGAGTTAATTTTTTACAATAAACAATAAGTTGACTTTTATTGAGGTGAGCCATTTTAGATTGGTAAAATTATAAAAAAAATCATATCTTACTGTTTTTAATATAATGCTGCTTCCTGTAGATAACATTTTATAAATGTTCATGTAAGGTCATAATCTTATTGTTTGACCTAGATTTAAACGTCATGATCTTATCACAATTGTCATTTAATGACTTTGGCCTTCGAGATCACTAGTTGAAAAAATAATGAAATGAAGAGCTATAATATGCTGATGTTTTGTAAGTCATTTTTAGAACTAAGTTTGTTTGCTAAGGAAAATTGTTTAACTCTAATTTTAACTTATATATGTCTAAGTTTCTTAACAATCAAATATTTTGTAAAGCATTTTAAGATGATTTTGATGCCATTGATGAATTGACATATAATGTATGTTAAACATGGTATGCTGATGTTTATCCGGTATTTCGGTAAACAAGAACAAGAACAGTTTATGCGCGGTCGCTTTTGTATTTACTAAAGAATTTGAATGCCCGCTTCCGGCTTAAATATTGTACGAACAGGCATATTTGATCTTTGTGTACCCATAAAGCTGGAAAGTCGTCATATGTTTCAATACTGTGTTGGTGTAACTTAAAATCCAACAACAACAAACATATAACAAAAAAAGATTTTAAATTTTACAATCTAATGGCATAAACTTAAGAAATATGAACGGTAAATTACTTGGTCATTTCAATGTATGACGTTATCATTTTATTCATATTTTAATTAATAATTTAAAATGTAAAAATAGAATTATTATACGTATGTACGGATTTTTGTTTTTTATTTAGATTACAGCGCTCTGCTACTTTCGGCTGCTGTAAAATATGTAGGTATGGAAGTTTAATTAATACAATAACATGATTTGTTTGTGCGTATTTTCATCGCTAAACAATGTAAGGTTTGGAATATGCATTTGTAAATGTAACGTTATACAATTCAGTTATATTTTATGTTAAATATAATTAAGTAAACGATATTTTATCGTAAACTTAACGAACAAAATCTCTCAAAACACTGAATTTCATGGCACGTCTTGGTCAGGTTATTTGTTTAACGTCTTTAGATATGATCTTAAGCAATGGAGGTCCTCAACAATATGAGGGAGAAATGCTTAAATACAAGATCTGTGCCCATCCTTATATGAAAACACAAAATAAATCTGTTTCGTGAATATGTTTTTCTTTATATGAAAAAGTTTAAATTAAAGTCACATATGATTATTTGACGAATAAGTGTTTTGATGATATATGTGTGTTTGTATATACATTTTGAACATTATGAACATAATATCTATTTAGATTGTTTGGAATGCTATAACTGTACAGATGTGGACAGTGTGAGTAACTGTTCAAACACAGCGAAATGTGACATCGGAGAGGTAAATATAATTTAATGATATTATGCAAGCTTCATACTTATGTTTATATTTAAGTTGTTGATATTTAGCTTTACTGTCTCACACAATTTGCTACCTGGTTAAACTGAACAAAATTGACAATTTTACAAACCAGTACCGAATTTAAACGACACAGAAGTGCTTGTTATTTTTAATATAACTATATACAAAATATATTGATTAATCGGTCTTTTTTAAAAGCGTTTAATTTCATAAACAAACATATGCTACAACCAACGACAATAGTACATTTTATCGTAAATGAGTGTTTTAAAAACAGAAGGAAGTGTGTTTCTATTCAATGTTATATTTCATCACGGTATAGAACTATGTGATTTTATAGTAATGTTAAATATGAAATATGGAAACTATTCAACGAGACAAAAAAAGGAATACAATGAATCTATTCAACGAGAGAACAAAAAAGGTGTACAATATAAACGTCAAAAACTTTTTAAACAAGGTATATTATACTCTACAATCTAGAACATTTTATTGTTTATAATATCCTTTATTTCGCACCTTTACTTGCAGTCATGCTATCTCGATTTAGTCGCAACTGGGCAGACTAAAGTCGTCAATTTAGGCTGTATTGAAAATCAGGTAATAACAAACTTATCTACTTTCTAAAATAGTCCACATGTATACGTAAATTGAATGAAGGTTTATTAGAACATTTGCATTATAAACATGATTTTTTTTGCTATCAATTATATGATAACGTTGACTTTTAAGGTAACTAAAGTATGGTTGAAAAATAATGACGAATTTATTTTAAATTCTTTGTGATGAAGAATGTGTTAACACTTGGTATACACTTCTTCACAACACTGCTACTACTACTTTAATGGACCCATATTTTTATAAAATCAGTAGTCATAAAGATGTGATCAAATCTGAAATCTTTGCTGCACATATGCTTCAGAAATGTGGGGGAACCGCAAATCCTGGTCCTGGTTTGATTGGAAGAGATGTCAGAAAACGAGAGTCGGAAACATGTCACGAATGTTGCAGCACCGATAACTGTAATAGTAATCTCTGCAAGCATTTGAAACGTATGTATTTGACATGACATAACAGGTTTAAGTGCAACAGTAATAAATCCTGAATCGCTATTTAGGTTTCTGAAAAAAAGAACATGATTTGTTTTGTTAACCGTGGTTTATTACTTTTGGAATTCGGGCATAGCTCACTGTAACGTTAATACATAATGTTTAACATATTTACATCGATCCAAGTCCTAAGTATATTACTTATGTCCGTACTGCTTTGTGACAAGATCAAAATCGTCACTATTCTGATTAAACATACACAAACAATAATGAAAACGAAACACGATAGTAGAATATTATAGGAGAAAGATAAGCTAATAATTTTGATTATTTTTGTAGCCGCTGCGTGTGTTGACAGTGAGAAGGTTGACTGTGCATTTTTGAACACGGTGGCAAACATTTGCCACGATGTGCAGCATGCAAAAACAATATGTCCTAAGTTCTGTAACCTTTGTGATCTTGGTAAGAATTGTGACATTTCGGTTTTTCTTAACATGCCATTAATCTTTATTGAATTATACCAAGGGGACAGGAAAATATTTCAATGTTGCTTTGTTAGAATGTTCAATCGCTTTTGCTTCATTATAATAAGTAAATACAGCTCTATTTCGGTGATTTCCCTTTTTTTTACAAACTAATTTATTCTTTTCATGGTAACTTTTAACACTTTTATAGACTTCGTATTTGATCAATATTGAAAATACGACACAATTTTATTGTATGTATGAATTATCTGTCTTATATTGAAACTAGTTGACGGAGAGTGGGCAGCTTGGTCTACCTGGTCAAAGTTGTGATGTCACGTGCGGTAACGGTACACGATCAAGATATAGAACATGTACAAACCCAGCTCCTGCACACGGTGGATTGGATTGTGTTGGTAAAAGAAATGAAACCGAAGAATGCCAAGAACCTCTTTGTCCAGGTTTGTATGCATAACAATATATAAATAACACATGGGTTTGTGGGTAACAGTAAAAATATCATCCCGAGGAAAATACTGTTACCCGAGGCGTAGCCGAGGGTAACAGTATTTTTACGAGGGATGATTTTTGACTGTTACTCACAAACCCATGTGTTATTTATTTTATTAACCCGAACGAAAATACTGTGATGATCTGAAATTGTCAAACTAAATCTAACTGTAACAAAAATAAACCAAGAGTAACAATAACTAAACTGTCCTTACCTTTTAAGTTTTAAGTTTACTTTGGGCCTACTTGAGAAGTTTTCTTATTCTTTTATTCTTTAAGCAAGTGATGATATCTACAAATCATAAACATACAATAAGCTAGGTTTTATTTAGAAAACAAAACACTAACCCATTTACACGGTTATAATCTGTTAAATCTGATCCTTCTGTTTCCAGAATATTCTTAGCATGGTTTTTGACAAAATAACGATGATATCCTATGTCTGTCCACCATATCTGTAACGTTTCACTGATTAAAATTGTTAAATTATCCTTTGCATGTTCCAGTTTGACACATAATTATTTACATTGCAATTACTTCCGTCGAAAACGGATGTTTACTTTTTGACTATCCAACAAAAAGATATTTTATACACGAAAAGCACACCAGGGTGCAAACAACTTAATTTTATGAGTGTCACAGTTACTCCAGAGAAGAAATTGATGTCCTTTCGGGGTTAAAAGTCGAAAATAAGAATGAATCGAGAGAAAAATGGCGGCCATTTTATTTCATTTTATTTAGAAAATAGACCACGTGACCAGATTTTATACTGTTAAAAGATACAGTTACCTATGTAACAGTACAAAATTCTTAGTCACTTGGTACACTTGCATAAACAGTAAAATAACTCCCAGAGGCCTATGGGAAATAAGCATTACGAAAAAAGTGAGGGGTAATAATATTGTTGTACTAGTCTCTCTCCATACCAAATATTTGTTTAAAAGAGAAGTAGCTATAATAACAGTATATTAAACTGGTATTCGACTCAAATGTTTTTAACGAGCCGCAAAAGCGCAAAGTGTGATCGATTCTATAAAGAAAAAAACATTGGAACTTAACTCAAGTCCAAGGCAATTATACTTTTACATACTATTAGCACACAGTCGAATATGCAAATATGCACAATAAAGGGATTTATATGTCATTTATATATGTCTTTATTGTCGTTTTTTTGTGCAATGAATAGACATACACTTTGTTATTTTGTGATTTAATCAGCTGCGATAGAAATGTTTGAATAGTAGTTAGATATCAAAGTCACAAAGGCTATTTTTCCTTTTAGTAAAGGCTTAATACAGTGCAGTGAATTATTCATTACCAAAACTGAGATTTTAAAAATAAAACTATTATATATTGACAATAAGAACTGTTTTAATTTCTAGTAAATGGTGGTTGGTCAGATTGGTCAGAATGGGAGGCCTGCTCAGCAACGTGTGATATAGGAATTCAGCAGCGACATCGTACATGTACGAATCCAGCACCTGAAAGATTTGGCGACCACTGTTTTGGTGACACAATGAGTGACCGTTTGTGCTTTCCGGGAGCGTGTGCAAGTAAATATATTGATTTATAAGAATTGAGGGTTTTTATATATTCTTCTGAACTTTGATTAAATTTGGTTGTTGTTTTTATATATCTTAATTATTTTGGACTTATGATATATACATGTCTCACATACATGCAAAACTAGCTTAACCCTGTTTGCGCTCTTCGCTCAATTTCGATCCGTGTTTTATCATGATCACTATGATTTTAGCCGCGGTTAAATATAAGAAATATGCATTTTACGTAACATCTGTTTACACTAATTCAAAACGTATTATGAATTATCAGATCAGATAACAAGTTATGTGCCTTTTCAGATGGTGGTTGGTCAGATTGGGGGACTTGGGGCAATTGTACTGTCACATGTGGTGGTGGAACAATGACTCGTTCAAGGGCCTGTACAAATCCAAAACCATCACCACAAGGCAAGGACTGTATAGGCGATGCCATAAGTGTTGAATCATGTGGCAATGAAGTTTGTTGTAAGTGTTCTAATATCTATTTCATTCGTTAACTCAAAACATGAATGAACCCAATGAAACAGATTGTTCACAACGTTTGCATTTCTTTCTGTTCTATATATCCTATTATCGTTACTTTTTATGTCAATAATTTCGCGAAACAGGAAAAAATTTGTCAAAAAAACTAAACTCTACGTTTATTTGTAGAAATGTAAGGAATAAAAATTGTTTAGATAAAATGTTTAGAGTTATATCAATATTTTGACAATATTCAGCAAAACATTGAATATGTAGTACCTAATTTAGATCGTATCTGCATTGCAAAATTGTTACTTATAAAGTGTTTTTGACAGTTTATTTGGCCCTATAAAAACGATTTTTATGATATATAATCCGAGTCTGTTTATATAAGGCCATATACAACCTGTTTGCAATATTATATTAAATATAATTAGAGCCGTTTATGTAGGGCCAAAAAACCTGTCAGGAACCGATGTAAATATTTTATAATACATGTACAGTAAACAAACTTTATAAGACAAAAAATAATGAAATTTCTTCATGAATCGACATCAGCCGAATATATATGTATATTCTGGAATCCAATATTGTGTTTTGATGACACAATGAGTGACCGTTTCTGCAAAACGTTACAAAAACGTTTATCCAATAAAAAAGGACGTTACAAACGTGCAGTATTATAACGATCAATATGATTTTCAACAATATTCGTGTATTATTTAAATAAATTTTATGCAGCTAAAACATAAACCACAAAACATGCCATAATCTCTTTTGAAAATATTTGACATTGTTAATATTTCCCCAAGGCCAAGTTTTGTTTTTAATCCCTACGGGTTTAATTGACCTCAGCCCCGCGCGGGACAGACAAGGTATTTTCCCAAGTTAAATAAAACGAGGGGGGACCTACAAAATATTAGGGGGCGAAAGGCCCCTTAGATGGCACCTACTCATTCAGTGCACAAATATGTTTTGCTAACAATTCAAATATATACTTCGACATTAAAGTAGGTGATGTAACATACGCCCAGTCGTATGCATATGATACCAGCGCTGTGGCCTGCTCCACAGCAACCACTGTTGCTAAAGTTAATAAGAACCAAAAGGTCATAGTTCAATGGACGCATACAAGTTATACCAGTAATTTAATAGTGGAAAGTGATGCATTACGGAACTACTTTACGGGAATACTAATACATGCCTTAAAATAACTTATTTCAAAAAAGCTTCAAAATACTTTCAATTATTCCATTTATTTAGACCACTTTCGCAAATTATTAGTACAAGTTTCAATAAATGACAGACTACATGTATTTATTATAGATTATGTAACAGAATTGTTTTGATAATACTTTCATCATGAACATCATATTAACTAATAAATGTAGTTATCTTCATGTACTAAACAGACAAAACAACCTTTCCTAATATGAAAATTATATCTATAAAATACACTGCGTTTTATTTTCATTAACATGTGTTTAACTGAAACATCTTTGATCTGTGCTATTCAATATAACATTGAAAGCCTTTAAATAAACATTTTTGAAAATGTCATATTTTTTTAGTAAATGATAAGTTTTTTCCGAGCAGAAAACTATCAATAACCGTAGAGATGAAAAAACGGCTGCTTGTTCACGTCTTTTGATATTCTTCAAGCTTTCACTCCGCATATGGCAGCTCACTTAATCCCACCACAAATAATACCGGCCTTTCATGTACCTATTCACGTCTTGCTGAAATGAAGCCATTCAAAAAAATAGCTCAAGGACATCAAGAGATGTTACGTAATGTCTGGAAGCAAGGATCTGTAGATCCTGAATCGGAAGCCCTAACACTGTAAAAACGTACTGATCAACACTCTGTTAGTTATGCTAATGCATTATTTGCCATTTATTATATATAAATTTTAGCATCATAAAAGCTTTGATGGCGCACGAATAATAATACAAACGCCTCTTTAACCCAAATTATACCAGTAGACGTTTCTGCTTAACCACACTTTGGATTGAATTCAGAACAAAACCATGTTACATCGTTCGTCGTAATTTCAAGTACATGCGCAACGGTTTCCGATGACGTTGTAAAGTGAGGCTGAATTTGGGTGCAATTTGAAAATATGTGTGTTTCTCGTAAGATTTTTCACTTGACCTATGTTAAACATTTCATATGTAGGATAGGTGGTGCTGTAAGGATAATGCTTGGTGAAAGTTGATTACGCCAATTTGCAAACATCTGCTGTCCGCAGCATACTCGCAATTTATCGCAGTATCGAAAATAGTCAACTAGTTTATTAGTTCCATAGTTAATCTAAATGTAGATAAGTACTCACAAACAACTAACTTCGTTTAGAGATTAAAGCGAGATCTGCTATGTATGGAACGTTTTTTTTAAATTTCTGTTATTTTCTTTCTCATTTGAAAATCTAATCTCTTATGAAAGGCTTCACTCTATCACTGGAGGTAGGGTCATGAATATTTCAGAAACCTTTGGATATAATGTTGAGGAGTATTTGAGTGCTTTTGTGAGTCTCTGTCTCTTTCCTTATGCGACATCTAATGTTCTTTGCAAAACATGTAGTAACCGACCGAGTTTGGTTCGTCATACCTCTATCAAATACAAAATCTATGCAATCAACAGGCATCATATTTTTCTGTTTATTTAATTCGTTGACATTTTTCTTTTATAGAAGCATATTTAATGACAATATCATCCATAACTTGAAAATGAAATCATTCGTAGATTTTCCAGTGTAGTGATAAACAGTAAGTAGGAATCATATGAAGGAATCATAACTCCGATAGTAACATGGTTGGAATGTAGTGAATTCTGTGTAATTCTACATTGTAAATAAGTAAGTATTTCATAATCTGTCAAAATTTGAAAAATTTGAAATTATTTTCAGGCAAGTCGGCCACATCACATCTTGTTTTATTTATAACTACCTGAAGATAACATTTTAAACATCTATTATTACGCATGCTAAGGTACGTAAGCCTTATCTCATTGTTTGACCTAAATATGAACTCCATGAATTCTTATCACAATTGCCATTCAATGATTGTGAGCATTACACGTGTATACGATCCATAAATTGAAGAAAATGAAATGAAGAGCATTCCAATGTTTTGTAAGTTATTTTTACGTCTATCATTTTGAATAAGGATTGTTTAAAAATTGTGTTACTATTATTGTCATTTATATTTGTTTAAGTTTCGTATCAATCATATGAATTTAAAAAAAAACGGAAGGGAGATGTACTCCCTTCATCAAGACAAATTAGATGACTAGACATGTCACTGAGCATGCGCTATAAACATACATTTCTAACTGCATGTATGGTATTTCAGGTGATATTTGTTAAGCTCGCCACAAAGTTTTAAAAACCCATTTCAAAAATCCGTTTCAAAAAAATTTGGGTATCTTAAATAACATTAAAAAGGTTCGCAAAGAACACATTTAAAAGAAAACTTTAAAATGGTGACCCCCACCTTTTGTTATTTCTATTCAAAATATAAAAATAATCATAAAAAAACAAATAAAACAAAGGATTATTTTTTTTATTCAGATTAAAAAGAAACACGGGCTTTTTTCCGGCTGTTTTAACATTTGTAGGTAAGAAAGTTTAATACTATAACCCCCAATGCGGATTTGCTTGTAATTTGGATTTATACTTTAGTTGCTTAATGAATTAATGTCAGTTTTGTATATGTTTTTTCCCAGATAAATTATTACTTACTATGATAAAATTATGATTTATTCATTAGTACTTATAAACAAAAAGGAACTAAACCTCCCCCGCCAAAGAACAGTTTTTTTTAAGTTCAATTTTTATATATACTTTACTTTTTAATAAATGAAAATTTAAGCTTTTTAAGGTCCAAAACTCAACTTTTATTGGCATTCATGAATGGAAAAGGCCCAACCTAAGGGCATATGCGTGGGGGCTTAATCATTTACTGAAAAAGGTTTTTCATAACTCCCCAAATTTTTAAAAAAAGGAGCTATACAAAAAAAGGGAAAATAATGTTTTTTTTATAAAATTGCAAAAAAGTCAGGTTTTTTAAGGCAAAAAAAATATTTTGGTTTCACGATTTTTGCGTTTTTGTAATTAAAGGTTTTTCCTTAATTAAAAAATTTAAAACATTTCAAATTCAATTTAAAATCTTAGATTTGTTTTTAAAACCTGAAAAAGGAAGATGTTTGAAAAGGGGGTCAGTAACTTTTTTTAAACAAAACATTAATGATGCCCAAAAAAAGGGAAAAGGTTAAAAATTAACCAAGGGCGAAAATTTTCCCTTTAAAACATAAAAAATTTAATTTTCTTTTAAATTTATTTATATATTTTTAAAAATTTTTTTAAAACCAGTATAATTTTGTTCACAAACCCTAAAAAATTTTTGGGTTTGTTGAAATCATATAAACTGTTTTTAAGGGCAAAAAACTAAAAATTATAACCCGGGTATTTTTGGAATACCAATCAATCCCCAAAGTTTTGAAAAAAATACCCTTTGGAAAAATTGCTGAAAATAAAAAAAATTTAAATTTACAAAAATTTACAAAACTAAAATTTTTTAAACAAGTCTGCTTAAAAGAAAATTAAACTTTTTTTTTTAAGTTTTTAAAAAAAATTTGGAAAAAAATCATTGAAAAGTAAAGAAAAATAAAATTAAAATTGAAATTTGAAAACTGGGTTTGAAAAAGTTCGTTCCCAGGGGGTTGGAAAAATTTGAAAAAAAAGTGGAAAACTTTGGCTCACGTCCCAAAAAAACCCCTTTAATTAAAAATTAAAAAACCTTTAAAATTTTTAAAAGGTACTGCAATCAAAGGGATTTACGATAAAGAAGTTTGGGTACTTTCATTGGAAATGAAAAATTCCAAGAGGAAAAAGAATTAAAAAACGTTTAAAAACAATTTGTTTTCAGTATGCCTTTTTTAAATTTATTTACACTTGGGCAACCAAATTTCTTTAAATTTTAGGCGCTTTTGGGACA